GAAAAACTTTAAGAAAAGTTATCCCCCTTTGACCGGAGGTATGAAAAAAAAAAAAAAAAAAGAAGAAAAAAAAAAAAAGAGGATTTGTCACTTCCCCTCTTTTAAGGACAGAGCATTCTGGGTACAGGGAGTTCAGCCATGACACCAAGGTGAGGTGGGCAGATCTCCGAGGCCCCCATCTTATTATTTCGCATTCACTTACCATTCGAACTGCATTTTCATTTAATACAATTTGTTAACAGCTTATCCTTTCATTCCATCTTATCTTTCTTCACACAACCACATTTCAACCCCTGGAAACATAACATACACAAACATATCTGCAAAGTTAAAGCACTTTTAATTTTTTCAATTACTGAACTAAATTATAAAGAGAAAATGTAGTCAGTTTCTTCTGGATTGTAATAAAGTTCCCTAATCAGTTTCTTCCAACTTTCAACCAAATGTAAGTCAAACAATCCAACAACACGTGTCTCCTGTTTGCTACCGCAATCACACTCTCAGTCGTATCTTTAAACACATTTTATAGATTTGATTGACAGTTGAAATTTGCATAGGTGGAAAGATTCTCGTGAAAGTATTTGACTCAGAGATCTATCTTCTATATAATAAATGTGAATGTCAGTGTGTCACACCTTTTCAACTTTATCCCTAGCGGCTGTAGTTCAACTTATACCAATTTGGAATCAGGCTGACTCCGTGAGAAAATTAAAAACATTCCGGGCTGGATCCAGAGCCATAATCCTGAAATTTTGGATTCCCAAGTTTTCATTACTGAAATTGTTTTCGGCAGTTTTTGCAACAAATTTTTTTTGTACATTAACAATTTTTAGAACTTGAAAAGAAATTTGGGAATAATCAAAATTAATTGCGAAATAAAGTCACTCATGAAATAAAAATAATTGTTTGTATGGAAAGTAAGGACCTATGTACATCAAAATGTCTTTAAATTAAGTGGCAGCAGAAGAATTATCATTGAACTTATAGCGGGTTATCAGTTATAGTGAAGTGTATGAGTGTTGAAGCAGATTAGTTTGATTTGGCCTCGTTAGTTAGATAGCCCACCATAACAGGGGTATAAAACAAGAAAATCAAATTGTAAATTGAAACAACACATTTATACACATATAAATCAATTTAGGTCTTTACAAATAAAATTAATGTATTTTGTTCGATACAAGGTCATCAAAATGATCGTAGTAGTCCTTGCAAGAATGAGTTTATGTGTACGTAGGCAGGAACGTATGTGTGGATGCATGTATGTATGAGTGTTATCGTAGGGTAGGAATGTCTTTGAAGTAATTGCCCAGTCTTAAAATGTTCCGTTTGTTTATCAAGTATAAAAGAGGTGAAGGAGAAAGGTAGAGATAATAATAACAATTGATTGACATTTAATATGCTTGTCTCCTTTTTTCTGGTGACAGGCGAACTTGCCTATCTTTTATTTTAGTTGTGGGGCTTGAAAAGGTCATTCGGAAATTCACTCCTGGATATGATTCGGGCCGTTCCATTGGACGACGAACAAACTTCGCATTCTTTTGCGAAAAGGTCTGTAAAAGAATTTGATTCTGAGAATTGAAGATTATTTGAATTTTGCTTTTAAATGTTTCCTAGTTTTCCATTGGCTGAAAAACATTTCGCATGAAGGTGTGAAATTTCACGAGTTTTGTTTGGGATCTGCTTTTGCGTGTGTGCTAAGCAAAGTTTGTAAATTCAAGTCTTTTTAATTTCTAACAAAATCAATGAGTTAGTGCTTAGCATTTGAATTTTTAAATCTAGATATTGTTTTGTTCACTACAAACTTTTAAAAAGGTAGGCTTAAATATTAATGCAATACTTAAATGCTGCAGTCAATTTTGAGTTCTGCTGTAGTTTATTGTTGCCTATCGCATCTACTCTTCCTTACCTTGATGAAGGCTCAATTAAGAGCTCTCCACAGGTGCTAGCTAATTTGGGAAGCTTTCAGGCTAGTTTTTAAATATACAACTTGTAAAGCCAGTTTTGGGGAATATTTTACATGCTAGACACATTTGAATTCCTTTTTGTCCAGGAGGTAAAAAAAAACAAAAAAACACTTAAGTAATCCAGAGAAAGAACGTCTTCAGACCGGTAATGGAGTCTGTCTTATTCTAGTCATTTTCCATCACTACTACTAATACTACTACTGCAAATACATTTTCTGCAGGTTTTTTTTATTTAGTTTTTGCAATCAAAAATGTTATTCTTTAATTCAGTACCAAAAATAAATATAATTGGTAAGTCAACTGATCTTGAAGAAAAAGGATTCATCTTACGGAAAAATGCCTTAGATATTGGGGATTAACCACAACCCACTCATATAGGAGAGGCAAAGCTTGGAGTGTTGCCACCACTTTAGGCTGCACTTAAATGTAAGCTACTCATCTCTTGCCAGGGTGAAAAGAGTAAATCCTTGGCCACCAAAAGTGGTTTGCTTTTATAATTTACAAGTGTTTCAATCATCCAGATAACAACCAATATCTAAGGACTCTCTCAGTAGCTGGATAACAGCAATGACAGCCATAATGAGGGTGGTAAGCCATCAATCAGCTTTCATCTCCCAGTAACAAGTGACAGAGTGAAAACTGGTCGCTCTCTCAGTCTTTCACCAACTGGTCAAATCACTCCTCATTAGGTTTCATTTTTTTCTTTGCATTAATGTACACTGGGAAAGACCCGTTGTACGTTCACAAGGAAATAGAAGGTGAAATTAGTATCATAGCTAGAAATGATGAATCCGGTCTTTAATAATTTGGTTATTTATTCCTTGGCCAAATTTCAAATTAAACGTAGCCCTCTCTCTGGGGGTATGTAGATGGCACTTAAGAATCCTATGCTGCTTCTTTCTCCTGCCAAGCAACTGCTACTGACATAACTATTTGGACGGATGGCTCCTCTTTAAGTTTTAACTTTGTTTATACAAGCCTGTAAGTAAACTTTCAAACTTCCAGTCAAGTGTTGCTTGTTCCCAAAAGCCTTCATTTATTTATCTATTATTTCATTCCCTTTTTGTCAAGTGGGTGGCTACTTTGACAATCATACTTTGTAGACTTTACTGCTGGTCATAAAAATACATATCTCTTAAGACTTGGATAAAATCATTGACTGTGTTTTAATGAAGACTGGGTTCTATCATTTTACAGGAATGTTTTGTCACTAGCTACAATGTTCGTTCTGCAGTTGATGAAGCAGTCATACTGAATGCTTGTATTCGGTGCACTGCTGTCAATGTACATATTTGACAACACTGCATCCAGTTACTGAGAATATAGGTGCTTTGTTTATTCTGTCATCCAGTCTAACTAAATGTATAGTTTTCTCTCAGACAAAACAAATTCTAAAAATGTTTCCAGATGATAGCAGCAATCGTTATAAATGAAGTCTACACCAAATCCAATAAAACTGAACCAATTTTTTTTTCTTTTAAAAAAAAAAAAAAAAAAGGAAGAAATTTTACCAATCTGAATATTTGATGATTCAGCAAATGTTTTTGCCATTCGGATAGTCTGTTCCTGCAAAGAGAGAAAAAAAAAATTTTCTTTCACAACCAAATCGGTGGTTTTGATTGTCAGTTTGCAAGTTTTTTTTTTTTTTTAATTATTTTCATAATAAAATTAGTATTAACTAATTTACATGTTGTTTGAGAGTAAGAAGCAAACTGATTCTAGATTTTAAGACTCTTGTGATCAATGAAGAGCTATTTTCAGCTAAAATATTGGCTCGACTGCTATTTACCAGGCACATGGTGCTAAACAAACAAGTTCTAAAGAGCCACTCCTTTTGTTTAAATTTTGGAAAGAGTAAAGGCCAAAGTAGTGAAAACAGGACAAATCTGCAATCAACATTTCCTTGAAAAATTCTGAACCCAAATAAAACCACAAGTTAAACTTCTAGCAAGGCAAATTTGTTATAATAGTTATTTGCTTAAGACATAAGTGAAAAGGACATAAATAGAAAAAAAGTAGCTGAAAAAGTTGAAGACGAACCACCATGGCAGGTCCATGGATTGTGATCTTTGGAACATTGATCCCTTCGACAGTAAGTGCCAAACCTAAAAGTAGAGAGAAAATGCATTAAGAGAGACCAAGTCAGAAATTTATGTACAGGCCTGGGAGGGGGTTGGTCTCTAAAAAGAAAAGAAAAAGTGTCTTTCAAACTGGTTTTTATTGTATTAATATCATTTACAGATCTTAGTGACTTTAACAAGTGAAATAGAAATTAAAGTTATCAAAATACCATAACTTTTCTAATAACTTGGAGAGGTTGGAAGTAACACTGGTGCACTGCTTTAATATAGCTGTTAAGCAAGTTTTAATAAGTTAATGAAGTAGAGAGAAAGAAAAAAGTTGATTAATGTACAGGAGAGGAAGTCTATTTTCTAGTAACATTTTATATAAATATATAAATTCATATGATGCATTCATTATTGGCTGATAATTAAGCTTTTTTAAAATTAAAATATAATATATATATATATATATATATATATATATATATATATATATATATATAAATTCTGTAGAAACAAAAATGAGGAAAACCTTGGAAAATGTTATATAGGAATAAAGTGTCACTGCCGACACTGTAGTTTGAACATAGATCACCAGAGAGCAAACACATTATTGAATTAAGTAGACAACATGTAAAAATAAAAATATCTAAAGGAAATATATGCATGGCAATTATATATGGTGTATATAATTGATCAAAACAAAATTTGGATCAACATTTCTAGTCTATCCTCCATTACTATTTGGATCAACATATTGAATTAGTCTATCCTCCATTACTATTTGGATCACCATTTCTAGTCTATCCTCCATTACTATTCGAACCGCTATTCTCTTCTCTACACCATTCTTTATACTGATAACTGCATGGATTCTTATTCGGTGGTTACTATTTGAGTGAGTATTATCGAGCAAGTACTGTTAGTGCGAGTGTTATTCAAAGGTGTCTGACACCAGTATTGTTCAGCAGCGTTACTATAGTTGTATCTGTGATTAGAAAGTCTACTACAACAAGCCTTATGAAAGTGACAATGAGTATTTGTTGACATTACAAAAGAAAATAAAAAAATAAAAAAAAACTTACCCAAAAGTCCGCCAATATTATCCCAACTATTATGAGTGATAAAGATGTTTTCTAACCGAGAGAGTTTGATTCTAGAAAAAGTAAATATGAAATAGAATTAGTTATCTATATCACCAATTATTTTTTAAACACATGAAAATTTCTGTAACAAACTTTGGGAAAAAATTTTCCATTACAAGATTACTTCTATTCAAATTTTAATTAAATTTACTTATCTTGATTTTCTTCAAACTAGTTTTCATGTCTGTTATGATTTAGTTTCAAAATATCCTTGGATATTTTCCAATAGGAAAACGAATATATAAGGTGCATCAAAAATACTTTTACAAACTTTGGGAGACGGGTCTCCTCATACCAAAGCAAAGACAAGAGCCCATATAAACATATGTCTGAAAATCCTTCGTTTTTGAGTTATTAAGTTTAAAGAAAGTTTACGGTAGATAGTGCTGTATTGCCATATAGACTAGGTTACGTTTGCCATTTGTGTACATTTGTGGCTAGTCTGTTTTTAGCGTTTAATGTGTATAGTAGTGAGTTAACTGAGAAGAGTTCCATTTAACAATGGCAGGATATTCATATCGTGAGCAGGCAGATATGATTCTTAGAGGAAGTTTTTCTGAATGCTAGGCAACAAAAATTAGCTGCAAAAATATTTTTATCTATAAGAAATTACTAATTAATATTCACGTCAGAAAGTAAAAGATCATTTTTTGACATTTACTGTACATATTTTTTTTGTTTCAATAGTTATTTTGATTTTATGCTGAAAAAGTTTTATATTTTTATACAGTAATGCAACAATCTCATTCTTTCCACAACATAATCTAAGCTAATAATGTTGTGATGTTTGATTTCTTTTTTTGAAAATGGTCCACTGCAATCTTTCATAGCTAATAATTCTAGTCATCATAATCTATGTTATTTGTTAAAAAAAATATTTGATTTTAAAATTTTTTGCTTATTTTTTTTATCATTTTTTTAAAGATTTTATGTTAATACTACTTTTTGCAAATAAAAAGCAAATTTCACAAATTCTAAAAAAGTTACTATAGTGCCCTTAAACATTGCAGCAATGCCCTCATTTTTAAGAGACCCACCAAGGCAATTTTGCCTCCTCCTATTTTAGGCTAAAACCTCATCCACATATATATATATATATATATATATATATATATATATATATATATACTAGTTCAGGTAATAGATCCCTTGGTATATAATCCAGGTTTAAAAATAAAACAATTCTTTATTAAAGGTTTAACTTTAATTTCACTTATCATCACAATTGCAATTGATATTGTCTAACTATAATTAAACCATAAGTAGGGCACGGTATATTGCTCATGTTTGTTTTTCTTTTTCTAGCATGCACAATGATGTATTTGAAATATTATATATTGGGTTGGTGCATAATTATCAGGCGTTTTTTAAACAATATTATGAAAAAAGAAACATAACAATTCAACAATAACATTTTTAAATGATTATTCCGGAGCGTATGATTATTGACACATATTTTTATAACCTGAAAATAAGATATTTTTTAATTAAAAAAAGTAAACAAAACAGCAATTTTTATTAACAAATAAGACCCCTACAAAAACACCTGATAATTATGCACAGTAATATGGCAAAAAGTTCACAACTAAGAATCAGGGTTGACACACAAGAGCAAATTCAGACAAGCAAATGTAGTTTCTGACTTCAAGGCAAGACAGACTGGGATTGAGTCTGATGAAACTAAGAACTGGCCTATTTTATTGGTTAGGAAGAAATCCCAGCATGCATTTGTGTGTTTCTGCCTATAAATTGGGGAGGGGCAAGCGCTTTGCAGTCATTCCAGTAGGCAATTGAAATCAACAGAAAATTACATATAAAAAATAACAGAAGTTCACTTACTTATGTTCGCTAGCAATTCTCTGCGTTCCTTCTCCGCAATTGAAAAGATAACTAGAAAAGAAAACAATACATTCCAACAATTATGCAACAAATATCTTAACAAAATTCAACTTGCTTAATATATAAAAAAAAAAATAACCCAAAAAAAACATTGCTCTCAAGTTAAATCCACACATAAGAAGTTGTGTGTAATTATCACAGTATATAGTTTGTCATGCATCATGCTTCCAACCAGCTGTGAGAAGTTGTACTTGTAGAATCAAACATAATACCTATGTTGTTTTGAATATTGTCTTTCCTGCAATATAATGTGTTGGTTGGTTGATTTTGTTTAGTGGCATATTAACCTTTATAGAAATATAAGGTAAACTTAAAAAAATATTACCCTGTGTCTTGTACTTTAAGCTTAAGTTTGTATAGGTCTTAGAATTCACTGGTACTACACTAGTGTGCAAAACTTTTGGGTCAACTTAGTAAATTAATTACTTTAGTTAATTCCTACCCACACTAAATTGGGAGACAAAATATAAAATACAATGATGAACAAGTGTTATATAACCAATATTATTATTTTTCTAAATATGACTTGCTAAATGATTTGTGCCTGTGATATGACAGTAAATATGTTAAATTAAAAACTGTTGAGATATGGCTTAAGTAAGATAATACCATAATTATTCCTGTATAATATGTACACACTCCCGGCTTCTGACTTTTGTGCCTAAAAGTTAGGACTACGTATTATACACGAGAACTAAATATTAACTTTTTTCCAGACCCAGACATTACCATATTCAGTAATCAATTTTTGTAATTAATACTTGTAGCATAAAAACACCAGTAAAATGTTTGGGAATTTGTAAACAAAAGTTAATTCTCAGTTTTAAAAATCTTACAAAAGTAATAGTAATAAAATATATATTTCTGAAACATTATCTAAAGAAAATTAGCAAATTTAAAGCTAAATTAATCTGATTTAAAGAAATATTATTTATTATTTGCATACAAACATTTCTTAACAACAGGGTTTTGTTTTTCTGACATGTTATTCGATTTATTGAGATTCGATCTACAGCTGAACAGTGAAAGTTTTTTTGCCATAAGGTGGGAACAACCCTTAAGACTTTTTAATAAATGCTAGATTTATCGATTTGTACATCCATACTTCAGAAATTCTGCACGTAATCACACATACAAACAAAAAAATCGAAATTCTTTTAAAAATATTCGGAGTCGTTAGATTGTAATAAGCTTTACAATATATGATCAGTAAATTTACTTAATAATATTTCCTAAGAATTATCACATTGAAAATGAATTTCAAAAGATTTAAAAACTTTATAAATTATTCAATTTAAAATTGTAAATAAACGAGAACAAATCTTGTAAAAATTTGTTTTTCGTCGAAAATTTTTTCTCTCCAGACAATATTGTCTTTAAAATATATTATTCATATTAAATTAAAAATAATTAAAATTTACTTTACTCTAATTAAATAATGTCTTAATTTTATTGCGATTTTTATTTTTCGATTCAGAACAGATTTTCGGTACAACCGGGTCTGATTATGCAAAAAAAAAAAAAAAAAAATTCAATGATTTACAAACATTCTTCAAGTAATTCTGCTTTTTATAGTCACTAAAAATTATCTCGTTAAATTTCTCGAGTTTTTATAAAACTATTAACAAGTAATGGGCTGAAACACATAAAAAAAAAAAAATATTACCAAGATTTTCTAATAAAAGAAAATTTCAAAAACAATTTCATTAACTTGTGAATAAGTGCTAAAAATTTAATGAAAATCCGACAATTATTTGATTTCTGCAAAAATTACCAAATTAATGTGTGTCAAAAAAGATGGCAAAATTTGCCATGCTAAAAATTAAAAAAAATGCAACATTTAAATTTTTTATTTTATTGTCTTTACTACTTTTTCAACGAATATAACAATAACATTCTGATTAAACTTGAAAATTTGGTTAATTTTTAAAACTGTTCGTTAAAAAACTGAAAATATTTGTAATTGTGACGATTTAAAACTGAATTTAAGGAAATGTGATTAAAAAAAACAAAACAAAAAAAAAAACAATTACTCGCTTCTTTAAACAAACGAACCAAACCACCAAAAATTGGACAGTGAAATATTTTTTTTAAAGGTCAAAGAACATATTTTCTGAAATGTTTCATATTTTTAATTTTTCGGTATTTATTTATTACCTTTTTTTTTTTTTTTATAATGGTTGCATTACAACAAACAAACCGTAAAACAATTAGCAAGTTAAAATATAAAACAAAAGAAAATCGAATTTCAGAAAATTACAAAAATGATGCCAATGTCAAAAACCGCAAGTTATGTATCTCTAATTGTTGAAATTCTTTAGAAATGCCATTAGAATCAAACAAGATCTTTTTTTTTTAAGTATCATTTAAAAATGAAACAACATTATGATTTCAACATTTCATTATTCCATTTCATACTTCCTACTAAAATGAAAACGTATTGTCAGTCAACCTAAGTGAAATTCCATGTTACAATTATCTATTTATTATTTCGACAACGACTTTAGGTTTAAATACATTTTTAAAAGCAAATGATGAGGAAGGAAGCTGGAATCACAAATAAGGAAAAGGGTCAACGAGAGCATTATTGTAAGTAAAATAAATTAGGAAAACTTACCGGACATGGTCTGTTGCAAGAATAACAGATCGAGGTGTTCCTCGACCACCGCTTCCAATCACCTGGAGTTCAATCTTCCCAGGTACAGGTAATTTACCCCCAATATGTTCCCTGTATCGCACATGTCGGAGTTTATCCTTGGTAGTCGAGGAGGGTCCATGTGACTTCGACATATTCAATAAATTCTGTGTAAGTTTTCGATGTCGTTTATTGCTAGAATTGTGGCGGTAGAGAACTGGGAGCTGATTACGAGAATGGAAAAGGTTAAGTTTTGGCAACTGTCTTGTAAACTGTTTGAAAAGCGTCATTTGTGGCTCAAATCACCTGTCTACTCTATATTTTATCGCGTGCCATCAGAGGACACGAGTTTCCAGTCGCCATAACACAATAAAGGGAAGTAACTCTGACTGACTATTTAAAATACGCACCGCTTAAGAAATAGAGCAAGCAAGACGTTTTTTCCTTAAGATTCTCCATAATTCTTTATATTCTTTAATAATTCTCTGGCTTACCTTCTTTCAATAAACTTATTTGTGATAGCTAATTTTTATAAGTAATTAAATCTTATCTATTTATTTTTTAGTCAATTGGTTTTGTTTTTAAAACTGGGAAATACTACTAACTACTTACTCTTTTTATTTAAAAAAAAATAACAATATTGATTTTAATTTTTAATCTTGGATATTATTTCCGAATTGCATCACTATATGATGCAATTCTATACAGTTTTACATTCAGTGATAGTCATCTTGGTTGTTACAAACACAACAGAACAATCAAAATTATATTATTAACTATCTGAACGTAAAAGAATCGTAAGACAAGAGTGCCGAACTGCTTGTAAAAAATATATGTAATTTTATAAAAATTTATATAATAAAAAACAAATGTAAAAATATATAAAAATTAATGAAAGGTTAAAAATATAATGAAAAAATAAAAATAAATCCAGACGGTTTATTGCATGCATAAAATTTGATCTTAAAAAAAAAAAAAAAAAAAACAACGCCAAAATGAAGCCTGTTGGTTTATTAAAAAAAAAAGATACATGAAAATTTGGTTTTCAAAATTTGTAAAAAAAGAAGCTAAAAAAGTCTGATGTAAAAAAAAAACAAAACAAAAAGCTCACCAAAATGAAGCCTGATGATTTATAAAAAAAAGATACCTGAATAAAATTTTTGTTTTCAAAAAATGTGTTAAAAAAGAGGCTCAAGTTTGATGGTCTCAAGACCTGCTAAAATAAAGTTCACAAAGAAGCCTTGGTTTAAAGAGATACCTTTTGTGTTTTTAAAACCAATGGAAGCAAGTAAGTTATGCCAGCATAATTTTTTATTCAATTTGGAGCTGATTTGTGACTATTTATTTTAAGAAGTCTGGTTTGTCTGAGAGACAAAAAGGTTTTTGGCATTCACAGTGAAGACGTAGGCTGGTTTTGGGAGCTGAAGTTAGAAAATGAAAGAAGCAGAAAAATAAAGAAATGGAAAAGCAGAAAGGAGATTTTACAAATTTAGAGAGATACATTATTATCTTTCTATAGTTATTTGTAAAAGTTTGTCACAAATTAAGTTGTCGGGTCGACCGAAAGTTTCCATCTCAAGAGTCAGGAGTCAAATGACCAAAATCAGTTATTTACGCATAGGTTCCTAGTGGCAGTTCCAGTAGCGTTGAAAACATTCAAAATATAATATAAAATATTAATCGATCACTGACAGCGTTTCCCTTGCATTTTCGAGGGACTTTTTTTGTGAGCCAGCACTTGCTTAAGGGAAGCTATAAATACAGACCATAAAGCAAACAAGTGGAGTTGGCGAATGGATTTCGCGTTGTTAACTCAACCGATTTACTAATATACTGAAACATTTCCCGCTTCTCTGATATAGATTCTACAATGAAATAAACGTATGCACTTTATCCCTTTCAAGGAGTTTTATTAAACACACATCAATGAGTATTTTGTCTTTGAAAGTTTCTGTTTTCATGGACTTTTTCAATGTGTATCTTTGTACTTTTCCATTTTCATGGATTCTATTAAACACGCCTCAACGTTTGTCTTTGTGCCTTTACATTGTTGGAGTTACCTCCTCCTACATTTTGAAACCACCACTTGTGGGAGCTATCGAATTACTATATATACTCGGCGAAATTCTCTCTTTTCACTTTTCAGCGGACACAACAGCAATGAAATCTTTCGTGAAGATTGCTTTTCCCCCTGATGGTGAGCGCTGTGCGTTTCCTTCGGGAAACACGCATGGACATTACACACATACACGTATGCACGAACATTCACTCGCGCATACTTTGAAACATAAACTCTCCACATTAATTTGTTACACACGCAGTATTGTCTTGTCAATTGTAACCCTTATACAAATATAGCTGTTTGTACATATAAAAGGTGTTTCATTAAGACGGATCAAAGTCAGCAGTAAATAAATCAGTGCTATTGGTGAAAATGTATTTCTCTATTGGATCATGTTATTTAAGTTATGGTAAACATGTGTGAAAAATAATATCGTCCAAATGTCTGCCAAAGTTTCGGCGGCACACCACTCTATGGTCAAAATTTTTTATGACGTCGCTGCGTAGTTGCTCCTCGATTTCACCAATATGCCTTATTATGTCATCCTTCAGCTGCTGAATTGTTGGCATAGACCTTACTTTTGAGATGACCCCAAAGGAAAAAATATAAAGGCGTCAAGTCGCACGATTGTGGTGGCCAATTGACTTCGTTGTTTCGAGAGATGATGCGACCTGGGAACTTCTCATTCAAATTCTGTTTGAACGTCCATTTTCATAATAGGCTTCGATAACTTTAACATGTTGTTTGATTGTTAATGTTTCCATGGTTGGAATTGCCAAAGACTCAAGTTGTTAAATCTGAAAGAAAAATAAAAAAAATTATTAGACGCTTACACTTAATTCACATTTAAAGTCGGTCCAAGTTATTGAAACACCCTTTATATACTGGTCTTTGTTGTTTTCTTCACATTTCTTTTGGTGGACTTCTCATGAACCTGCCATATTTGTAGTGGGCTCCATTTCAGGAGACCACACGTGTTCATCTCATAACGCGTTGTGACACCAAGCCGTCGGCCCGTGTTCAACTACCAGTCGCGGCGCGAAGCTGTAAGGTTTCTTCTATCGGCGTTTTGGGGTTGCCTCTTTGTCGCTGCCACCAACCTGTGTCCCGGTCGTTCGATGGTCGTCGCTACTCGGCGAAATCCCCTGGTCAGGATACCAATATGTGACACTCAGCCGTCCAGGGTCGAATCCAGTGGTTACGGCACCAATATGTGGCACTAGGGTCGAGTTCTGATCGTCGAGGTTAACGGCTGCACCAGTTGTACCGGTTCAATGCTAACTCTGTTGTTCACAGCTCACTTGCAACGTCTGGTTACTGGAGTAACTGTCTTGATCTCAAGTCTAATCTACCCACGTTGTGACTTTGATCTTAGGTAGACGAGATCAATCAGGCGTCGGGCCGTAGTGTCAGCTGAGTCCAAATTGAAGGTGGCGTTGCACAAGCGCAAAGAAAGAAAAGAAAAAAATAAATGAAAGAAAAGACCCAAGAGGTCCAAGTATGTTTAAGAAATAACAATTCAACTTTATCCTTCCGTTGTATACAGGAGCGTGTTTTTATCCCAGTCCGTTTACTACGAAATGTGACACTTCTATGTTTCAAGCAAGTTGATATCGTAAGTCAACTAATCTAGTTTTTAAGTGCTGGCGTAACTTCGTTCGTCAGTATAACTTGCTATTGGTAGCAACGGCGAATTTGGAGGTCATGGAATCTTTTGGTCAGCTTCTGCGAGACAACACCCTGATTCAAAACCAGCTCAACTCAACTCAACTGCAACTTCTCCAAGTCTGCAACTCAACTGTCTAGAACGACCCATCGACGGTCGTTTATATGGGTACCGACCAAAACCCGGTGTGTTGGTCCGACACGGCCTGGGTTTCTCTGTAATCTTTATTTCTGACAAGAAACCTCCTTGTTGTCAGGACAGGAAAATTGATTATTTCTCATTTTTGGAAAATTAACCACTTCCCATTTCTTCTCCGTCGTTCGTGAGGGAAGGTCGGAGCTCCTAGACTCTTTCTCTCTCACATTGATATCTCATACCAATCCCTTCAGTGAGCGTTAATATCTTCTCCGACTTTCTCATCCATTCACCCCCGCCTATCACCACACGGCCAATGATCTCTCGGCAGTGCGGATGTGGCTAAGCTGGCCTCCTTAAAATTATAATTTAGAATTTTTGTTTACAAAATTCTTTTACCACATGTTCTCTTTTTCCTGGGCCACCCAGCACTCTTACCGTCTCATTAATCACTGTCAAAGTTTGCCATCTAGTTCTTTACGCTGTTAGTTTTATCATGAATAATTGACTTCTTAAGAAAATTAAATTCTTTTTTATCTCGTCGAATCTCAATTCTCCACTATTTTCTGGGGACTGCTAAAAGTTTACAATTGCCACATTGCCATTCGTCGTCTTAGCGTCTGTTGGCAAAGTAAATGATAACAATCCTCTCACCTATATCGAGACAATGCCAAAATTTTATAATTGCCACATTGCTTCTCTTCATCTGTATCCAAGAAAAGAAATTAAACGATATCTTGGAAAGATAATCAACATTGAATCTTCCTGCCTGTATCATCACGTGTGTTGGCCGATAATTCCATAATTGCCTTTCTTTCTATCTCTCTCGGCGATAACTCGACAGGACAAGACCTCACACGTGGCTTCTTCCGCAGCTATTTTTGTAAACAAATTAAGATCTTTTCTTTTAACGACGATCAGTCTATCTTTCGTTATTGCTCTTTTTTTCCGCTTTAAGAATGTCTATTTTCTGTTTTTTTAATTATATAAATTTTTATGGACACGACAAAGGCCATCTTCAGATTATTAGAAGTTTATATCTAGTGATGTAAAAATAATACTTTAATATCTAAAGTATGATTTGTCATATTGTGGCTAATGTACTTGCCTTCCAGACCTTGTTGCAATATTCTTTTTTGTTGTTGCTTCTGATGGAGTGCCATCTGGTTTACTGGATCTTTGTTCATCCATCTTTTGTGTAGGTTTTAAGAGTGAATGATCACATTTTTCAGTTTGTTGTAAGAACTGTTTATCGGCGTAAGACGCTTTAATCCTATCGATGGTATGGGCCTATGTAGTTTGAACTCAAAGGTTGTTTTTTTTTTTTTTTTTTTTTTTTACATCGTCATTTCTTATATATTTGCAGGTGTAAAGACAACTTGGTAGGTATATTTTTTGTTGGTTTTCCATGTAGGTGTAAAGCAAGGGTTGGCAACCTATGGCCTGCGGGCTGGATCCAGCCAGTGAAAGCATTTTGACCGGGCCGTGAGCCTGATTACCAATGACTATTTTTAACATGAGAGACGAGGCTTTCGAATTAGACTATCTGCCAGTTATCTTTCATGAGACTTATTTTACCAAGTTGCATGGCCTACGTTTAATGTCAAATAATGGATACATATTTGTTATGACCCTTGGCTACATTAAAAGATAACAGAAGCGAAAGGAACGATAAAGTGAAAGAGGCCAGGGAGGGACTAACATGCGAGGTAGAAGAAATCTAAAGACAGTTAAACATACGCGCATGCCTCATGAATGTGTGGCTGATACCGCATGTGTACGTACGTAAGTGTATATGTTTGCAACTATTTGTACTCGTATGTATGGGTATATGTGCTTCATTTTTGTTTGATGTGTGTGGTTCGTTTGTGGAACAATTTTTAATAACAGTTTCAAATCTACACGTCATAATTTCATCCATTTCACTTCGGCTGATTTTTTTTTACTTTGAAGCATTTTGACATTCTTTGAGGAAAAGTAATTTTTGTTAGATGTTTTTTAATTTTAGATTTTCTTTTGTTTTACTGATTTCTCAATGTTTATTTTCATTATGGTTTTAAATATTTAGGTTGACATTTTCCTTAATTTTTCATTAATGGCCTTCATCCGGCCCGCGACCTGTCATTATAACACGATGCGGCCCTTGGGGTTTGGTCGAATGAGTTGCCGACCCCTGGTGTAAAGGGTCATGAATGATATTCTATTTTTAAGTCCTGTACAAATATTGTATGTGGGTAAAATCTCTCATTATCTTTGCAATATTGACCTGGTAAAGTTAATGATGTGCCAAAACACATATCAGCTGGTGTACGGCCCAACCCATTTTTTACAATGTATCAATGTTAAATTTCATACCCAATCAGTTGGGTTTGGTCTCATAGACATTGCTGCTTCTAGATATCCGTGGAAACATTCCACCATCCCATTCGCACAAGGGTGATGGGCTGTAGTCTTTATGTGATCAGTTCCAAGTAGATGGTTATGTGACACTGAAGAAGTGAAGTCGTTAATCATTAATCCTAAGCAGGAAAAGAAAAGAATTAAACTCATAATTATAGATATATATAATTTTCCTTGATGAGAACGAGACCATCTGGATTTCTTTTCCCCTAAAGTTTTTTTTTCTCATCGAGAGACCGACATGCGCATGAAAACGGATTTGTGGAAATAAGTTTCTGGAGAAATTAGGAAAACACATTATTAACGGAAAGAGAAGCAGATGCGGATCATATTTTTATTGACGAAAATGAAAACAAGGAACGAACCCCTTTTTTCTTACAGCTGAGGTTATGAAGATCAATCATGTCGTGTGAAAAAGGTGATCTGGTTTATGTTTTCGCTGAGATGGCGACCGGCCATGAATAGAAAACAGTTTTGAATCTTGTTTGAGAATTTAGGTAAACATATTTTCATTGACGAAAATGAATTGGAAAATAATTTTTATCTCTTGCTCGGAAGATTAAATGAGAACGAATTTTGCTTAATGGTTTAAAATATACTGTATAATTAAGGCTAGAGTTATGGAAACAAATTCTGTCATCGGTGGTCTAATTTGTATTTCCGCTGGACAGAGATAGTTCCAGGAAAATAGAAAAGATTTGGAGAGTTAAAATTAATGGCTGGAATGGAACTCCACCCTATGTGCTTAAAAAATTAGATTTTTCACAAAGACAGTTATGCATGCCCTGGAAAATGGGCTGAGGTTGAATACTTGGAAGGGAGGGGGAAGGGGAAGAGTTTGGCCTTGCTTGTGCAGAGTAGCAGTGACAGATGTGAAGTGGTCGAAGTTAAGAAAAGCAATGCTTGTGACTACTTTCAAGGAAGGTAGTTATTTTCAAAATTTGGAAAGTTGATGAAGAAAGCAGAAATAGGGACAAAGAAAACCTTTATTGGGATTAATGAACATTGGGGAATCACTGAATGTTGTAAATATAAAATTATTCTTGTAAATAAACAATCTAATAGTGTTTAATATTTTTGTTGTAAATTCTCAAAGCAAAAAAAAAAAAAAAAAAAATTCACTTTCAGGTTTTATTAAAATTCTAAATCATTTTTGAAATTAATTAACACTGCTGAGGAGTGGAGGTAGTTAAAATAAGTGGTGTCAAGGGAAAAACCATCTTTTTGACAATTTTTTTTTTTTTTGGCTGGTACAAAGGTTAAAGATTGACAAAAAGAACAATTCATGTGTTCTGGTTCAGTGTTGAGTGATACTAGGATGAATTCATTAAAAAGAATTAAAAGGTACGAATTATCTCCCCTTAAATAGGGACAAAGAAATAAGGAAAAAAAAAAAAAAAAAAATGTGGATTTTATTTTATTTTTCTCATGAAAAATTAGACTATATTAGGCTATATTTTAAAGACCATGCACAATTGAAAATCTAAAGGGCCACATTGATCGCAGAAAATTCGCCATAGACTATAATTTTTTTTTTTTTTTTACAGTAAATTACCGAGTATGTGCAAGATAGTGTGTGTGTGTATATATATATATACACACACGAGAGAGCAAGAAAATAACCATTTTCTAAATAGTTAAAAGGATTAATTAGATGCAAAGACAGTGAAATAAGTCAGACCTTCACAAAACTGGATTTTTTTGTTTGTGATTAGTTGTGAAATTTATGATGAACACACACACAAAAAAAACAAAAAACAAAGACTATTTGGAAATGGTTCATCCTAGGTATTCTCATATTTTGTGTCAGCCTGATATACACTGATGGATTGGGTTTGAAACTTCCAGGTTACCAATTATGACAGACAATGAAATATTGTGGCAATAAGCTGAGAATACCAGTGTTCTGTAGCAATTACAAGAGAAATCTGATGCTCATGACCTAATATTTTTGGAGTATTTAACCGTAACATTATGCTAGGGACAGTCTCATCATTCCAGTTATTAAATGTAGCATTATTTGTCATAGTACAAAACGTAAGAAGGTAGTGTTCCTTGCTTTGCAAGGTCCCTTGTTTTTTTCAACATTTCTCTAAGGTTTTCATTTCTTCAGGTGATACTTTTTTCCTAGTTATGTTTTAGACATTCTCAATAGAGGGAATTAAATTGTTTTTCAGCAAGATCTGCATGTAGCTTTACTTGGATAATCTTTTACTGGTATGAGCCATAAAACAAATTCAGTTTAAGTTAGTTTTGACCCTCCCCCACATCGTTCATGCACTGAAGATGGCATTTAGGCTATTTTAATGACCAATAAAATGTTAGCATATACAAAAGGTAGCAAACACCATAGCATCTGCACAGGTAAGCAAAAGTTTAAATAAGAAAACCAAGATGAAATTTTTTTTATAATCATTTATTTGTTAATGTGCAATGTTTTACAAGCAAATTTATTTTATAGAAAACGAGTGTTTCTGGATGAGGAGGACACTTTGGCGGGAGGAGGGTAAGTAAAGAATTTATTTCTTCAAATAATTCTTTTAAAACTATTAAGTAATAAAAAAAAAAAAAGAAAGGGAGAGAGAAAAAGGAAAAAAAATCCTTGAAAATAAGCCAGGTTTGTTTCTTTCAGTCGATCTGTAAAACCAGCCATTACCATTAATATATTACTCAACCAAAAATTAAAATATCCAACTTTCATTTCCACTTGATGTATTTCTTCCTTCTTTTGGAAGTAGCTGATATGAAAGAGTGCATAATGACAAAAAGAAAAATTGAATAACTAGGCAATGCCTCTCCTTTCCACTACTGGATGGTCACCTACAGCCCCACGTGACAATAACAGCCTGACTGAAAGAAAGAAGGGCACCACAAATTCTTCCCGTGTCAATTGCTGGCACCTCCTGCTTATCCACTGCTGCTCAGTAATCTGGTCCGCGAGTGATGATTTCCTTGCAGGTTGGCCGCAGCAGTATGGTGTGTTCAAATTGTGCCGTGTAGCAGCCCTTGACATCACAAAGTGGGGGGTAAGGGACAACAATGCCTGAATCGCAGAGGTTCTTGAGAGCCATCAGATACTTGGTCTGTCCAAGGCGGTCTAGCCAGCGGCGACAAAATGCTAAAGTGCCAAAATTTTGGTTAATGACATTCAGCAGTTGCTTTGACTTGGCCACCCTATGAAAAGAAGAATACAGCGTGAAAAAACAAAATCTTTGACATTTCAATAACATGACTTCCATTCTTAAACAGAGACATAAACGTTTATTTTCATTGTCATTTTAACCAATGCTGAGGCACTATAGAGTAGTGTGTCTCGAAAACCTAGGATTCTTCAAGTGGCTGATAGGAGTTCTGCGAGAAAGTGATAAATTAGCTAATGCATTTTTTGAGTCATTTTTGTTTAATTTTATATTCATAATTTTACTATATTGGACGGCATATTGTTTGAAAATCCTTGGTTATTAGAATAAATTATTATGATACTGGTTATTTGTTTATTTTAGTGTTTACAGATTTTTTTTGCCTCTCATAAACGAGTGAGGGAAAAAAAAAAAAAAAAGAAAAAAAATGTTTACCACATGAACTAAAAATATAAGACAGATATCAATAATTTTATGCAGGAATTAAAAACAAAAAAACCTAGTAAAGTTCATCCTGTACAAGGCCCGGAGACCACTCAAGGCAGAGGGTAGTTTATCTGGATAGGCAGGGAAGATAATGACTGACTCTAGACTTGAACAGATTAAGATTGTAGTGATTGGAGAAACATCCTCTTGGGCATCTGTTCCACAGGGAAGTGGTTCGTGGGAATCTGAGTAGAACTTACTTCTTTGCCAATGTAATACAGTGGGAATGTGGGTGTTTTGCTACAATGTAAGTGGTATAGCAGGTTCTATCCATGAAGTTTAGACCTGGTGGAACCAAGAATCCATGTTGGGTTATTTACATATTGTTATACCAGAACATTACCTATTCTATTGTAATAGACTCTCCCACACATAATAATTAGTAGTAGTAGTAGCGGTGGCCAGTTGGGCTCAGTGGAGTTGAACGAGTCAGTCGATGTCGGACATTGATGTATCAACCATCACAACTAGATTGCTGTGTCATTAACTATTATTGCAAGTTCCTAACGTTTTGTACGTTGAACCTAATTTAGGATGACTTAGTGAAATACAAGCCTCCACTGTGAAAACTACTTTACAACACATATCTTATAGAATAAAGAAAAAAAACAAACACATTATGGATCAGCAGATAGAGACAGTCATCCCAGTTTATACTGGAATCTTCCAGTGACCTTTTTTCTTCACTGGGGAGGGACCCACAGCTAAATAAAACCCTTGCTGACAAGGAAATTTAGCAGCAGAATATAAGCCTAAATCTGGACTGACTGTTTAAACTTTAATTTCACAAACACAATGTACTTCCAATATTTGGGAAAAATCTCATTTTCAAATGTTTTGTGCTGAAATCTCTAATCTAAATCTATTTATGTTTTTGAAAAAAGCATTAATCAATCAACATTTTATATTCTTACCAAAAAAAATTTCAGCTTTCATTATACAGAATGAAGAATAGAGAAAATAAAAACATTATCAGGAAACTGAAATAGTTTTGCATGAAAGAAAAAGAAAAAGAAAAAAAAAAAAAAGGAAAACATGAACAAACAAGAAAGTCTCGGTGCTTACCTAAGTGGGACATGCCCAACTTCAAAATTCTTCATATAATGAGAACATTCCATGTCATCATGAACAACACCTTTTCCTGTACTGCCAAAAGTTTCAATAGCATAGAACTCAAGTTCCTGTGAGAAAAGACAAAAAGAATTTGGGTTCATTTTCATATATATATATATATATATATGAGAGAGAGAGAAAAAAAAAAGAAAAAAGAAAAGCTACAGATTTGAAATTAAATGACAGGCCAGATTTTTTGGCCCTTACACCAGGTCATGATGAAAAACTAAAGACAAACTGAAAACTTACGGAGAAAAAACAGTGACTATTATGGAAGATCATAGATTACATTTTTTATGAATCTACCACTAATAAAATGGTCAAATCACAGAAAACAAAATTGAAAAGAGAAATCCTATTTATTTGCCAAGGCCTTATAAAGCACTCAACTGACAGCATCTATACTGATAAACACCACCAAGCTTACCTCTCCTGTTGCCAACAAAAGGAAGTGATGCCAATTTTCTGACAAATATTATAGAAAATGAATTAAAATTATGTAGAGAATATAAAGCCCTGATTAAATCTGATAACAGAAGTTTCCAAGAAAGGTATGTCTGTAAATACTCTGCATTGCATGCACAAGTTTTATCCAAAAAAAAAAAAAAAAAAAAAAAAAGAAAAAAAGGTGAGCAGAGCAGTAACTGCCAATTTAGGATAATTGACAGAATATTCCAGAAATGTGTACATGGAGAGGGAAAAAAAGGTTTATATAACCACAGGCAATTATATATTCTGTTACAGATTAAATTTCTCTTGAAACAACATTTCACAATCAAGACACGTTGAGAATAAAGGTCTTATTTAAAAAAAAAAAAAAAAAAAAAAAATTTCCCTGAAGAGATTATCCCGAAAGATTTGCCAGTTGAGCATTAAATCAATAACAAGATGCAACAGACTCACCTCCATTCTGGTTGCCTCTCCCCCTTTCACAATTGGCACAGTCTTGCCAGCATGGATTCTGTATGGACCTATCATGTGACCATTCAAATTACGAATAGACTTCACTGAAGAGAGAGAGAGAAAAAAAATATGTTTACAAGTGACAGTGTTATAATAAATAGACACAAGATATTTCATTGTCAATAATTAAAAGGAAGGCTATTGTTCTTGATATAATAGCCTGTGAAAAGTTCCAGAATGCTTTCAGTATATTTAAACTCAAGTACAGAAATCATAAGCAGAGCTCACCTGATTAAGCTTTAAAATTTAATCTTAGCTTTTAAGTTAAAGAGTTGGTTTCCCAAAAAAGCATAAACCAATTCCATACTTAATAAAATGCATTTGCTTAGATTCATAGATTTTGTGCCATGTGCATATTTGAAAAATAATCTGAAGAATCACAAACATCAATTTTGATTACAAATATTTATTTCAATTAAAATAGATAAATATCACTGAGAATGATTTAACTGCAATCTTAACCAATGTTAATAAGGGGAGGGGGTGTTGTAAGTCTTAATCAAGAAATGAATTCTTTGACAGAGATTTTATTTTAAAATTCACAGGCCACATCATAACCATTATAATTAAACTTGTATAAAAGCAAATATATTTCCTAAGATAACCAAGTTAACTAAAATCTATAGATAAAGATCTATTTTGAACTTATCAACATCCAATCCTGCATTTACTCCTGGGGGCCAAATAAAAGCTTCGGACAAGGCCTCACACACCCACAAAAGGTAGCCACCTCCTTTTGGGAGAGTGGAAGGCCTTACCTCTGCAGGGGATGTAGTGGGTGTATCTTAAGCCTCTCCAATAGTAGGTATTCAAAATCAGCCTAATTTAGTGTGAAAATGGGTCAAAACAGAAATTTTCTTTAAGTTCAACTGACAATGTCTAGAGTATTTTTTAAAGTTATTTTGATAAAATCAGTATGCAAAGAAAATTTGATATTCTCTCTTTATAAAAAGATAATTCTTTCTGCTGTGTGATAATTAGTTTTTTTTTTTGTTTTTTTTTTTTAAATTCCAGGTCTTTTTAAATGAGGTCATGTTCCAGTGACTGGCACTTCTTTTCCTGCATTTTAAAATCAGAGAATTTTATGTTTATACTTTGAAATTTGTCGAGATTGGAGTTGTGTTCCTATGCATATCAAAATAGCCCCATCTTAAAGAAAAAATATAATAATCAGTTGGTTTCATATCACTCTGTCCAACTCAAAGTTGGACCAAACACAAAAGGAGGTGTGTTTGAAATTTGAATTTGCTGGCCGCCCTGACCAACATCCGTTTTACAAGCTTTGGAGCTTTTAAATCCAACTTGTTTCATTGACGGAGTTTCTAGGTGAGTTTAAATTTTTCTCTTATATATTATGTTTATTCTAAAGTTGTATAAAGCAAATTACTTATTGTGTAAGCAAATAGGCATTAAAAAATAAACTAGTAATACATATTTTAATTTAATTTTACACACTCTTATTTGTCCATAACAACTTTGTGCCCATAAAATAATGTAATATTTAAATGTACATTTATAATATATCTCATATTTGTCAATGGGAGAAAGAAAATTTGTGCAAGTAAAAATTGAAATAAAGTATTGTAATTTTAAAATGTGTATGTATATATTTATTTTTATAAATCTTACATTTGTGTACATAAAATATTGTAATTTTAAAAGGTCTGAAAATTTTATATTTACTAATTAATTTTTGGGATTAGCTCCCAAAAATTGAATATTTAAGTTATTTTTAATTAGACTTGGTACATTTTATAAAAAATAAGAAAATAATAAAAAGGAAATATTTTTCAGTTGAACTATCATGGGTCTGTAAAAATTATATATAATTTCTAAAATTAAACATTTTTATTTTAAAATGGATATTTCTTGTAATTAGCAAATATTACTTTTTTAACTTTGAAAGTGGGTTTTATTTTATGGCATTTTTTTTTTTTTTTTTAAACATAAATTTTAATTAACAGGACATTTTAACACCTAATTCAACAATAACAATTCAAGGGCAAATGTTGCTATTCGAAAAAAAGATGTAACCTTTAAAGATTAATGAATTTGAGTCTAGTTCTGGTAAGGTTTTTATCTATTTTGTAACCAGATTTCTGTAACTGTTACGGTTGTAAGGACCATGTGGGAAGCACTTAAATAGGCAAAGAGCTCACAGATTTAGACAATGATTTAACAAAAAAATTCTTTTAATATCTTTAAGGAGCACCCACCCCCCCATTTCTTTTGTGATACAAGAATTGTACATTTTTACTTGTAGATTTTTGCAGGGTTCTGTGAACTATGGTAATACAAGGATGGAATAGTCAAGATTGATGAAGCAAGTTCAACAACCATTTAACACAGCCAAGAAAATTTTAGCCACTAACGGAGATGATATAAGAGCCTTTTTAGATTCTTCCCATGACGCTCTTTTGTAGTTGAAACTAGCTGCCATTGAAATTACATCACATGTAACCCAGTGACAAACTCTGGTAGCTGTGATGAAGAACCATATCATGTGATTTTCAGATATGAGAGAGAAAGCCAATAGGCTGCCATATAGTATGCTTCCAGTTTCTATATTGGCCAAGTCATTGACATTACACCTACAACCAGTGAATTAATAAAGTTTCTAGCTCCAACTAAGAGTAGAAACAATTATTTCTGATGGCCTTTAGTAGGTGACATTGCACAGGTCGAGTCAACTTTTGTCTTAAGATGGAACATACATGTAATGCTAGTTTCAAATGATGGTAAAATCTGGAATGTCCCAAAAATATTGGTTATAGAAGCCTAAAAAAAAAAAAAAAAAAAAAAAAATAAATATAATTCAGACTGCAAATCACCATTAGGAGAGGAAGTACAGTAAGGGTTGTTAAAACTGCTCAGAAAGTCTTTCATCAGTTCCAATAAATGTCATTTTATTCATTTCAATTCTTTTTTTTTAAATTTAAAAATTGAGCTTTAAGACTTTACAATAAGCATGTTTGAAAAACTGACCACCGATTCCTTTTGTATAACAAATTTCAAAGTTTTGATGTCAGCCCTTTTCGGGAGTCAAAAATTTTATAAATTTAAAACATTTTCAAAAACCAAATATATTTATGAGAAAAAGTCAGACAAAATAACTTTCATTGAATTCTTCATCCCCCCCCCAAGAAGTTTCAGGCTTGTACTACCTGATACTTAAAAAAAAAAAAAAAAAGCAAATTAAGTTTTTATCCTATCAGATTTTGCTTGTCTGTACTTACATGGTGAAATAAGAACTACTTTTACTGATGTAACCCCCCCACAGCATAATCTCTAACATCCTATGAAACATTAAGAAGTTTCAATGACTTAACTGTAGAATTGAAATTTATATGAATGGCCAAAGTTGCCTTCCTGTGTTATTTTGGCACCGTTTTTAGGACAGAATGTGACATTCACCCCCCCCCCCCAGTTCATTTAGGCTGGTATTAAATATTAATTCCATTAGCATTATCTTTTACAACTTAATGACATTGCATTTATAATGATTTTTCATTTATTTGAAGGCCTACATCTTCATATACATTTTACATGGCACAGGTTCGTCCCTGGGCTGGTGGTACCCCAGCTAGGACTAGCTTGGACTGGCTCCAGCCTGGACCAGCTATGACAAGCCAAGACCAGTTAAGACCAGCGGCCCGAGTGAAAACAATCGGGTCTCCATGTTAAAAACTGACCTTGTGTCACAACCTGACTCAGTGGGAGGTCAAGTAAATATCTACATTATTAAAATGGGCTTCTGCCCCAATCACACTCAAGATGGGAAATCTGACAAACTTTGAATGGTTCATAACTCAGTTGCTAATTGAACTAGCAAGACAAATTTGGTACCACTCCCTGGGATGTATTAAATATCTGTTTAAAAAAAATAATGGGTTGGGGAGAAAGAGAAAAACATCATCTACAAACCAAAATTGGTCTTGGTACAAGCATCACACACACACACACACACACAAAATATTGACAATCTTACCTTGATAAGTTTTCCCATCCAATTCCACTTCATAAGATTCCATGACTTCTTGGATAGCCTCTCCGATGTCACACAGCCTGACATCTATGCCAGCTTCCTGAAGATCACAAAACAAAGAGTTATATAGAACCACTTTTTGCATTTGAGAAAATTAACTGATTTAGTTAAGACTAAATTCTCTTCAATAGACACTCTTTACATTTTAGAAACTGCTAAGGGGGGGGGGGGAGGGAGAAATAAAAACCATAACATTTTTTTTTGCATCTAAGATGTAAATTGAGATAACACAGGTTCCATTAGTTTTAATTAAATCAAATCTGTAAACGAAGTTAAAGAATTCCAGCAATAGATTCACAAGTAACAATATGCAACCTTGTTAGTAATACTAGCTAATTATTAAGAGGAACAATAGCTTTGAGTTGCCTTACTACAAGTAAACATTTACTAAATTAGTAGACAATTCACGGTTAAGCTTAAATATACAGAATTTTTACTACTGTCTGTTGTGTTAAACATTAGAAGAGAGAGAGAAAAAAAAAAAAAAAAAGTTTTGTGGAGTTGCAATTGCTGACACAGATGACAATTTTGAATAAAACCCGAAAATGGATTAATAGTTAATTTTCTAAACAAGAAAGAATTTATCTGAAACTAATTCAAAATTTAGAATTCACTTTGATCTTGCAGAAAGACCGTTTTCAATACCGTGATAAGGTTTATTGCACTTTTCAAAAATATCACATTATAGTTTAGCCCTACAATAAGATGTTTAAGCCATTTCATGATGTAATGATTTTAAATTAAATTCAAAATTTTAAAATTCTCACCTGTTACACAATTCACACACACAAAATAAAAAAAAGGAGATATAAGACAATTTTGAAAATTTCTTACCATGGCATATTTTGCCAATGCTCCTTTATCATTCTCAAAAGAATTATTTCACAAGAATGACACAAGGAAAGGAGTTCTATTAAATGTTGGTTTGTTTTTCCAGGTTGACAATAGGTGTAAAAAATTGGATGAGAATCTGATGGAATGGCAAATGAAATTTTTCCCAAAAATGTCTTCTGTATTTCAGATCCTGCAAGATCCTCACCTGATTTTACTCACAATGTCAACAAAGAAAGAACAAACCTACATTTAATAAGAATTGTGAATGATAACCTTGCCCCCTTGTGAAGGTTAATTTTCCCCTCCTAAATTGTCTTATGTATTTCCAATTCTGCCATATTCTCATCCAACTTACACACAATAAAATCAAATTGATCTTCAGGAGATAAAATTCTAATGTTTTATGGCAAATTGCTATAATTTAAATCTGTAGAATAATGTTTTAAAATTTTTTTTTTTATTTTTTTTTTTTATTTACTAGCAACAATACCTGGTGTTGCCTGGGTCAAGTCCCTTTCCTTTGTTCTGTTGCATTATGCAGTCATTTCTTTAAGAAATTTGTGTTTGCTGGAAAATGTCAGTGAAGTTATTGTAATTAAAGCAGTTTGATAGGTTTAAAGATTTTGGAAGTTGTTTATTACATTCAGCATATTACAAGTTTCAATATCAGCTTGGTCTTCAAAATGTATTAAAAATTAAGCGGTGATCTAAATGCTCAGGCGGTTACCACTTTCACAAAATAAAATGGCTTTTGAATAACTAATCATAAAAGCAAAACAGTTTATAAAAGATCAAAAAAGCAGATAAGAATCAGATACAAAAACAGTTATTTAAAAACAAAATATGATTCTTAAAGCTAAATATGTAGTTATACATATCAAGCAAGATATTGTAAGTTGGCCAAGGTACAAGACAAATGCTGGTAGGCAAAAAATGTTAAAACATTTTGACGTCTGTTTTATGTGAGGTCTGCACAAGCACACACTGACAATCAACTTTATATATATTGAAATATCAGAGTTTCAGGCAGACACACAAATTGAACTTTATATATCAAACTCATCCACCAATTAAGTTGAACTTGATCTGTTGTGCATATTCATGCCCCAAAGCATCCCTGCTAACAAATGGATAGTTAAACACTTCCAATAATAGAAAAATCATTTACCCTTATGCCAGTCTCTGTGGCATCTTGCACAGCCTTTATCAGGTCATCATATTTGGGGTTAAAGGTTAATGTAAAGGCACAGTCAATTATGTGACCTAAAAAAAAAAAAAAAAAAATTCAAATTGAGAGAGAGAAAGAAGATTCTGAAAAGTTAAAACTAAGCAGCCTGAGATATAAAATAATGTGAAAAGAAAATTTATAATTACAATTACTCATATGTTCATTTAAAATTTTCTTGTTCTATAGTTGACAGAGGTTATAAAATTAAGATATATATATATATATATATATATATATATATATATATATATATATATATATATGTGTGTGTGTGTGTGTGTGTGTGTGTTTTCATAGCATTTATTACATTGTAGCTGGGTCACATACTTTTATAATCCCGTAAGTGTAAAATTATTCTTGTAAAAAAATAATCCAATAGAGTTTAATATTTTTTGTTGATAATAAAATTTGCTGAGGAGTATATGTTAATAGCATTGCCAAGGTAAAAAAAAAAAAAAGCTCTTTTGACATACTGTTTTTTTTTTCAGGTATGTTTGCTAAACTCTGTCAAATTGTAATTCTAGATTTGATCCAAAATTTAAATAGAAATAAACAACTAAGAAAATTCATCTGTTTTCTTTGTTTTGAATAAAAAAAAAAAAAAAAAAAAAAAAAAAGAATTATTATAATAATCATAATCTTAATTCTCAATCTTATTTTTTAATTAAGAACATTCTCTTCTTTATGATATTTCTGAAGAATCTTAAATGTTGACTTACCATTGACATGCGTTCCAAAATCAATCTTACATACATCATCATATTGCAGAACTGTGTTGTCGCCAGCATTTGGAGTGTAATGAGCAGCACAGTGATTCAATGAACAACCGGTTGGAAAAGCCAAACCAGCTTCCAAACCTTTTTCATTGATTAATTTCCTTGCTATTCCTTCTAAGGTTTCGCTGTCAAAACAAACAAGTTCTTTGCATGAATTACATCATTCAGTTAGGAACATTAAACCTAACATAAGCTAAAAGAAAATGCACGATTTTTTTTTCCTTTAAATTTTAAAATAATATTAAACACTTGAAAAATCGACCATTTAAATGTTATTTGAAGAAAAGAGAAAGGATTTTTTTTTTTTTTTTTTTACTTCCCCAGATAAAGAAAAATAGAAAAGTTAAACTGAACAATGCGAGATTATAGTTTTCATTAACGAAAAGATGCAAGATGTATTGCAGGTAAGTAGGCAGCATTAAAAATCAGCAACAATGAAAGAGGGCATCTTTTTTGGATGTTCTATTCTGTTTGGAAGACATTTTCTTGGACAGATTATGGAACAGACCAGAAACAAGTGGGAAAGGAGTAAGTGAAGACTAGTCAGATGATTTGTCGGATTTAATAAAAGGGCTGAAGTGAAGGTATGTTACTTCCCTGTTTTGGACAGGGATAAAGACAATGAGGGTGAGTGATTCTTCCACACTACAGAAACATTTAGCTCATTGATATATTCTTTTGAAACAACCAAAAAGGGTTGAAAGCACTTGTAATGTGATTCTACCCAACAATCAAGTGACTTATTTGCTATATTTATGGGGAAGAGGGTTTCACAGTTTTCAAGCAATCTTCAAGCTAATGTGACACTTCCTTTTGCAAGCTCTCTGTCTATAGGCCACATTGTGATTAAGGAAAGTGAGGAGTGGAGAAAACTGGCCCTACCCTGTTCTTTTGTTTATGCTCCAAGATATCAACGCTAGTCTATTTTATTTATTTATATACACATTTATTTGCTTCATATATATGTATTGTCTTGTCCTAAACTTTACTATTTGAAACAAACTTTATTAGATTTAGGCTATAGGATTTTATGTAGCCTTTTGAGCCATGTCATGGTTGTAGATAGTGCAGTAGGAGATTGGTTTTGTGTCTGCATTTGGAAATGTGCTATAATCTCTTGTTTAAGTGTTTATATGGTCTTGGAAAAGTCTCTTGTGTTGAGATAGTGTTGTAAGTTGGTATTTATTATAGCATTTTATATATTAAACGCACACAAGTCAACACCTAGCAGAGTCGCAGTGTTTCATGCAATCTTCAGGTCATGTTATTTTATACATGCTGGTTAATGGTGCATTATGGGTAGGTCTATTGTATTATTCAAAGAGTTACTGAGTGGGTGGTAACTGATGTTTCAAATTATTTTAGGGGCTATTCAATAGAAATAAGTGTGGATTCAAATGCTGTTTTATGGCTATTTTACAGCATTGTTTGACTTTTTTTTTAAAACTCTTATTAATTACTTTATTATTTTTTTGTTACTATATTTTATCTGTTTGTTTACATTTTTGTTATATGGCGGATTAGACGATATGGGGTTTCTTTTTCTGTTGGCCTTTTTTTTGTGCTGTGTATGTTAGCGTTGCTGAAAATCCACTATCTTTTAGAAAGGTTTCATGCTTAAATACAAACTTCAGGCCATGTGTCTTAATCATGAAATGAACTGTCAGTATACATAAGGAAAATAAAAAGAATACATTAGTTAAAAAATTCTCTACACACACAATTTCATGAAACAAATTCACCCAAATCTTGTATGTCTACTTACCAAATATCAATCATCTTCATTCCAGGCTTGATATAATCTTTCATGTACAACCGTGTCTGTAAAAGAATCAGGTAACTTATTAGACAGAGAAGTTCTAGTAAAAAGAAGTATGTTCCTGATGTTTCATAATTTTATACAAGTGGTCACTGAAGTCAACACCCAGTGTCAAGTCTGTTTCATGTTTAAATGCAATCGTCAGGCCTCATGATTTGGTTTAAGCATGAAACAGGCTGCTGGTTTCAGTGTCCACTTTTATATTTACATACTCTAATATTGAGCACTTTAACCCATAAATATAGCATATCTTAAAACTATATATTTATCATTTAAATTTAAGAAATGCTTATAAATATACATTAGACTAACAGAGGGTCGAGGTAAATTATGGATGAGGCTAAGTGACATAATTTAAAGACTAATAAGCAAAAGTGAGTAAATGTTTTCTTTTTAAAATTTTATTTTAGTCAGAGAAATTAATTTATGTATTTTAAAAAAAAGAGATGTTTTAAGAGGGTTTTCTTTTGATTATTTAAAATTTTTATAACCATGTTTGTTGGCTTGGGAAAGGAGTATTTCTTTTAGGAAAGATTTAAAATAAATCCAGATCGTAGATTTATATTTTGGTTAGATTCAATAGTAGCACTTAAGAATTTTCCATTTAAGTTACTCTTTTAACAAGTATGACTTATTTTTATTTTTTTTAGATCAAACATGTGATTGAACTTATTTCTAGGTAAGACTAATGCATTTGATAAATGGTTATGTATAAGATCTTTTTTTCTGATCATAGATTTCTTTTAATTTCTCTAAGCTTCCTATACAAGATAAAAGAAAAATTTGTAGAGACTATAGACAGGATGTTCAATGTAAGAGATAAAAATGGAGGAAAAAAAAAAAAAAAAAAAAATTTAGCACTGTTCTAGAGTTTAAAATAGTTTGGCAAGAACAATACTTTTGTCCACTGGAAAAGTGACACAGGATATCTTTATTCAACTAACCACTTTATTAAATATTCTGGAAAGTTCCTTTCATCACTTAATCTAGTTTGAGAGAATTCTACAACAAAGTGATTTATTACTGGAAATTTAAAATAATGTCCAGTATTTCCTTTTATTCAAATCACAACCTGCACTCAAAAATAAAATCTGGCATGGAAACAAAATAAGAAAACAAAAGTGTATATTTTGGCTTGCATAAATAGTCAGTGACCAAAATTAGGACCATTTTCCAAATATCTTTCACTCCAAAAAGTTAAAACACTAGTCACCAGGGAAAAGATTGTCTTAACATACCAGAGATATGTGTGTATGTGAGATTGACATTTGGGAAAAAATGCTCATGAAGGTATGTTTTGAAAATAATATCCGATAATGCATTATTGGATATTATTTTCAAAACATACTTTCATGAACATTTTTCCAAATGTCAACTTATAATTGTCGAGACAGACATACAGACAGATTTGGAAATAGTTAAAAAAAAAGAAAAAGAAAAAGAAAAAAGTTATTTTAAGCAGTAACAGCATTATACACCCCTCCACAGTCTTTTGAACAGGCGTATTGGTTCATTGCTTGTTTCCTGTTATATATCACTGTCCAAAACCCCCATTCAACAGACTGTTCATAATCATAATATAATTATCTCAGAACTAGATTTACTTAAGTTTAATGCCAGAAAAAAACAAAACAGTTTCTAAACTATATGCTCTACCCATCATAGAATTGATGATACACAATACATATAGACAAAAAAAAAAAGTGCGCAAATCTGATATACCTGCCGATGTGCTTCAGCTGCAGTACGAATCTCCTGGTAAATATTCTCATGAGCCCTGTCCAGGGCTCTTTTCTCTGCACTTGTGAATCGATCTTTAGCTGTTCGACTAAAAAAAAAAAAAAAAAAAAAAATTTTTTTTAGTATCGTTTCACAAAAACATTGCCCTTTTGCAAATACATTAATCGTAATGGATAGTGATTTTTTTTTCTTATTCGATTATCAGAAAGAATTCTCAACACATCAAGTGTAGGCCTCTATTTCTAAATCTTAGATGAAGCATATACATCTTATCACTGTCAGTGAGTTCACTTGTTTGAGTTGCTATCTCTATTTTTTATTTTATTAAACAGTGAAATTAACCTTTATCATGCTGCAGGACAAAATTGTCGTCATAAAATTCTCACCCTTTGCTACTCCAGGTGCATTCTGTCACCTTGAGACGGCTGCTATATCAACTGTTATTTCTGGTAATTTAAGTGGGAAATCACCTACTACTGCTTTGGAACAATGTTAAACTTCCATTTTCCAACACTATTTTGAATTCTCCTAGACTCTACATGAGGTAACATACCGATAAAACCCATGTTAATTTTTTTTTTTGGTGATATTTTTTCAAACAAAAATGGCCATGTCAATATCGAACAAAGCCTTTATTCAGGAGTTATTCTTTGATTAGGACTCCGATGATGATTTTGAAGGCTTTACCCGAGTGGATATTGATGGTGAAGTTGTCAAAGATGATAACCATGCTAGTGACGTGGAAGAAAGTGATGATGACTACTAGCAGCTACTATCATCCATGCCAGACTAATTTTATGGAAGCTACTGGCGATCATCGATATACCTGATAGCCTTTCTGAAGGTGAATTATTTTGTCTATTTATAAATGACGAAATATATTTATTCGTCAACAAAACAAATAAATGAGTCAGGTGAAAAAAAGAGCAAACGAATGCTAGTGCCTTCTCGTATGTAAACATGAGGAAACAGGTCACTTTTTTTTTTTTTGACGAAATGTAAGCCTTCTTAGTAATTTTGCTTCTTACTGCACCCCCTCCCAGAGCTCCACAAGGAGTAAGAAAGTTAAAGTATTTTGAATAAATTGTGTATTTTTTAATTTTTTTTTTGTGTTTCAATCTTTTGTTTTCGACATCAAATCATGCATGCAAAACATAATGCATTACATCAAAATATTATTCAGTCGTTCTTTTATAAGTGTACAAAAATTAAAATCTTTACACACAATGCCAAGAAAGTTATAACAATTTTAAAAGAGTAGGTGTTAATATTTTCAAAAATATGGAAAGCAGATGAAAGAAATTAGAGATAAAATGAAAACAAAAATAACATTGATAAGATTAATAATATCTATTGTATATTAGTAGTCCTTTTAAATAATATAAGCATGAGGAAAGATGTTAAAAATCAGAAATTAAGGACATATATATCCTTTCTCAACAAGAAATTGTGATAATGTTACAAGATCTTTTTAAAATACATTTTGGAAAAATTCTTCCCTCCATTTTGCTCCTCCTGTAAGTGTTAATCAATTCATTGCATATTAATCATATTAGGAAAAAGATGCTTGCACTTTAAGAACCAGTTTCCTCCATTAGTATTTATATGATTTTCTTTTTCTTTAAAGAAAGAAATAATATTTTGTTCTGCCTACCATCAAGCAAAGACACACACACAAATTCTATTGATTTATATTCAAATACTGCAATGAAAAAACCTGCATAGGTTTAATACTCAAGTAGATTAAATGCTTATTCTAAAAGGTTAGAGGTTATATGTTTCTAGTTTTCAATTATCATAAGTGATTCAGAGATCAATAGTAGATAGAATATATTTTTAAATTGGCATTTTTGCGTCCTTGATTGCTTCTATGCAACTTTGGACTATTGTCCTGAAGACAAGTGATGAGACCAACTATAAAGTGACGGCTGTTGTTTGCCAAACACCAGTTTGGCCTACAGAGGATCGAGTGACAATGCTACATTGATTTAAGTTCATTCCCTGAAAGGAGATTGTGTTCCCAGTTTGTTTGACAAAGTTCAAGATTTTTTGTTGCTATTTATAAAAAAAAAAAAAAAAAAAAAAAACATTTATTATATTTGTGGAGTGAATGCACTTAACCCCTTTTTAATTGTTTGCTCCATTTAGTTCAGCAATTCCATTAAATTGTCTGTGACACTGGTGTTTTAGAAGGAATACAGCCAAATTTCTCTAACAAACAACAGACTGTGGTCATAAAATTCATGAGCATTAACTGGATACCAAAACCCTGTTACTACATTCAGACAGACAAAATTCCCACAAATCTGGTTTTATAAGAGTATTTTTCCTATCAGTAACATTAATAACTTCTGGCCATCTGTAAATAGAATCTACCAAAATCAATCCAATTCTATCAATATATACTATTTACATTATTTGGACCATCGTCCTCATCTCTGTCGCCATATTACAACGTTTCGGACGTTGTATGCTCTGGCCTTCTTCAGGTGGTTGGAATGTCGAACTGAACTCTTTATTTCGCTCACTGGGCTAGACTTTTCTTTCTAGTTCCACGTGCCATCGTGCAGTCCCTTCAACATAAAGAGGGATGAAACATGTCACAAGTAAACTTTTCCTACTTTGTCATACAATTTCTCATACACACACACAGCATGAATATCAAGGCTATCAGATTTTGTGCTCCAGATAAGGGAGGCCTGCACCAAAATATGACTGTATGCAGTTCTCAAGATTATTGTGTCTTGTGAACGGTTTTCAAAATAGTAAATCAAAATAAATTTGTTAACCGATTACATACAAAAGTTCAGTTTTATGATAGCATGACTTCCTTCAGCCAATATGTTTCAATAAGACATACTTTCTTTGAGGTGATTTAGTGCCCAAACTCTGTAGCTTACTCCAAAAGTTCATTCTTGCAGCCCATGGCTAATTTTCTATGAACAATGCAGCCCTCCACGTTTTAATTGTGCAGGCCAACTTTACTGATTTACTCTTTCTTTGGCTTATCAAACCTTTGCAGGTTATTTAAAGAGGTGGATTCCTACCTTCCTCAAGGGTATCTGCACATAAGCCAATATAACAATCTCAACTGGAATTGGAACTCAGCTCTCTGATTAAAAATTCATTAGCCATTACACTACCTGCACATCCATGTTTACAACATCTGGTGTTTCCAAGCAGTCACCTATATTGGTGCTGACCAAGCTCGATATTGCTTAACTTTGGTGATCATACAGGAACCAGTATTTCAATTCTATACAGCTGTAAGCCAGGCCTACTTCAGATGATTATGTATAATAGTAATGTTATATCACAAACATCTCAGGATTTATTTTCTGGGAACAGATAAGATCTCTCTTGCAAATGTTAGCCAATTCACTTTAATTTATATTTACTGTGAGGAACAAGAAGACTTACCTTCCGCAAAGTAAATTTGCTTGGCGTGTCATGTCTTGTTAAAAGATTGCGACCGGCGTTAAAAGCGAAAATGAATTATTCCGAAACTCTTATATCGCGGACAGGCATACAATGAAAAATAAAAATTAAAAAGACTAAAAATTCAAGCCAGCGTAAATTTATAAGATTGTAAGTCTCGCATGCAAATTTTAGTTGCCCCTGACGCAGGCATAAATAGAGAGAGCGTGAGGAAGATGGGACAGAACAAAACACATTGTTGGTGTGACGGCGTACGTGTGTACTAATGAGAGAAATAGGAAAAGGTCAATAGCGACAGCTCAGTTGGTAGAGCGGAGAACTGAGAAGAAAGCAAGCACTTTAATCCATTTCAGTCAGCGACGGGCAAACTGAATTACCCACATTTACTCTCCTTTTTAGGTTTTTGACATGGGAACAATTATTCCAAGCTTTTATTTATTAATTAATTTTTTTTTTTTTTTTTTTAATTTTATTTGTAAAAGCATTTTGCCCAGTATAAGATTACTTACTGATCAAGAGGATGCTTTGGTGTGGGATACTCAGTTTCTTGGCCAGCAGGAACATTACCATCAGGGAATAGCTCCACAATAGGAACAGATGGGGGCACAGTCTGCTTTTTAACCCCTGGTGGAGCTGAAGGAGCCGGTGTGTCTCCTGCTGAAGCAGCTGCTGCTGTTTAAAAAAAATAAAATAAAAATCTTTATTTTCAGGAGGAGGTTAAAATAGACAGAATATTTCCCTTGTTAAACATTCTTTCCAATTTTAATCTAGAACACCAGAAACAAGATATTCAGAAATTCACACAAATGTAATGATTTAATGGATACGTGCATCTCCGAGTGTGTGTGTGTGCGCGCGCGCGCATGCAGTTATTGAAAATACAGCCAAAGTTGTAAGTGGGTTAATTGAGCAAAGCCAGCTGTTGTCTCACGTTCAAGGAGACACAGGTCTGGAGATTGTGCTGGTCAGGGTTGCTGTCCAACATTTTGTAGGTTGAATAGCACAGACACCCACCTACTGAAACAGTAGATTATCTTCCTGTTGTAGAATTGGTAGCAGAACAGGTTGAATCATGTCCTAAGTGTAGATGGAGCTGTTTATCATTTCTTGTAAACCCCAAAGTATAAATTGTAAATGATGGAACTCCACACAATGATGCCAAAGGTTGTTCCTTTCCCTGCCTACACACAAGAGAAATTACCATCACTTACAAGAAGGGATAGACTGCTCTTATCACTAAACACTCGAGTGTTATTTGAACCCCTAGATGTTTGGGCAGAGGCACTTAGTTTGCCCTGGCCTGTGTTTTGGATACCACTGATGCTTTTACAGTCTGGCAAGCATCTTGCAGGAGCTCCTCCCTGAATGTAGGAATGTTAAGTTGGCCACTGTTGCTAACATTTGAGAGCCACCAATGTATTAGGTCAAGCACATGCAGCAATTTCGTAAAAATCACCCTAACTTGAATTGAGAGAGCGAGCAAGAAAAAAAAAAAAAAAAAAAAAAAAAAAAACACAAGACTACTTAATTCATACAACTTTTTCTCACACACTATTCCATATCAATACAAGACCCTTTCATCAATCTAAATCAATGATTCCCAATGTGTGTGTGTGTGTGTGTGGGGGGGGGGCACATGCCCCACCAGGAGCATTCATAGGATGTGCACCCTCTGACCTGCTATACCAACATGAGCTCAAATTTCATTTTGCATTATCATTTTATGATTAAAATGATCAAAGTATATTACAGAATAAGCTTCCATTCAAATATTTTATATTTCTGCATTTCAGTCCTTTATTATATCCTTTGAAACTATATATATATATATATATATATATATATATATATATATTTCTCCTTCATGCACACCATGTGCTTTGGAGGCTTGTTAATGGCCTTTTAAGCTTCCTTCATGTGAATTGTAGTAACATTTTGAATATGTAAGAATTACAGGGGGCACCATAATTTTAGAAATACGAAAGTAAGGCATGAAAATTTATATTAAGGTTAGCATTTATTATTTTTTTTTTCATCGTTTCAATTATGGATTAAAACCCAAGTCTCTGGGACAAATAAACATAAATGGAAACAATATGATACAATCTATAAGATAAAAGAACTGTCCATCATGCACCATCTGTGTATGATTTTGCATGTGCATATGTAATGAGTGACTTACATGTACTTGTGTACAATCAAACACTGGTCACACACACAAATTTGATTTTGAATAAGACACTGGAGTATATTCCCATCCTACACAGATCAGTCTGGACAACAGTTACACTGTAACAGGTACCGTTACACTGTAACAGGTAATAAAATCAAAGAATGGGGATTTGGTAATAAATAAAATTATTCAAAGTTTTTTTTTTTTTTTTTTTTAAAATGCTTGTAGAAATATTTTAGATCCATTATTGAATTAAAATATAGCTGCACACACACACACAGAAGTGTACACACACATAATTTGAATGTAACTGAAATGGAGATCTTGGTTGCAAGAATTAATTTACCTTTGGCAACAAACCCCTGGCTAACAGGAAAAGACCAGGCTGAAATATATGACTCTTTGAAGTCAGTTTTATGAGGATTCTTATATTTAAATTGAATTTATTAATAATTTTTTTTTAAATGGACAAACAATTTAGATTTGAAATTTGATCATCTGTCTGAATCAACAGGTAAAAAGTTAATAAATTTGAAAAGACAATCCTAACCAAAAATGAATGTACTGATAAACAGGCAAGAGAGAAATGTGTCCGAAATTATGAGACTAACATTTTTTCTTCTTTTTCTTCTTCTTGCTGGTTGAACTGGCATCTCCAGCAGTTTCAGTATCTGCAAAAGAAAATTTGTAAATGTAAAGACAAAAGCCACTAAAACAATTTTATTTTCAATATATCTAAAAACCTTTAATACAGAGAGCTTAAAAAGAAAAAGAAAAGAAAGAAACATTATCAAATTTATCTTGGTAGCTCAGTTAGCAACAAAGTTATTGTGATACTATGACCACCCGCTGCCACATAGAAAAAGGGGTTGTTTTTATCTTGATTTCAAGTGTTTGGTTGATAGCCAGTGGAAGGTACTTTTTGAAATTGTCTTCTAAGCAGCATCCATTTTAACTAAAGGCTAATAGGGAAGTAAAGAAGTGAATGAGGGATTTTCAGAGATAAAGTGGCAACAAAACTGAAAAAAGGGTGTATCTGAGTATTGGCTTATATTAACAATCATGTTTAGACTGGAGTTAAATCTGGTCCACCCTTGCCTGTAAAGTGGTTCCGATACCCTCCATTTGTATTGCCAGCCACACACCTGGAAGAGTAGATCGACATGGAGTTGGTGGTGGGAAGAGATCCACATATGAATTGTTTAGTACCTACCTACCCACCTAGACAAAGCCCTGAACAAAACATCTATTTGATTCATGTCATTCCTCATAGTGTAGTGTTTGTCCCTTGTGAGCATGCCCTTGCCCAACTATGAGAATCAAAATGTCATGCTGGGTAATCATAGACCACTTGGGATATCACTGTAATATCTATTCTCCTCACAGTTTTTAAACTCATCAGAATACATTACGAGGAATTTGGTTTTCAGCCTGCTTTTCCCCACTTAGAAGAAATCAAGCAACCAAGTTCATCACCCAATGAATGGAAGGTTAAAATGTAAATTTTATCAATCACTTGGGCAGGTATCTCTGGCAGGGAAAGCATTAGTACATTAAAAAAAAAAAAAAAAAAAAAAATAGAATGTTGAAAATTACATTACAATTTTTTTTTTTTTATGGGCTCAAGCACCAAAGTTAAGCTTAAGCAGATCTCCAGTTTGTTTCTTCTTTTAAAAAGAAAATATAAATAAATTTTCTATTTAATCTCCAAATTCTGAGAATTAGGGAAAATACTGCCAGCCATGTATGTAAATCAAATTAATGGCCATTAAAAAGAAAACTGGACACTGCAAATTTTTTTTTTTTTATTTTATTTTTACAGACAAACATGAAATGTGAAATTTAAAGAACTAATATATCCAGTTCATTTACTTTTCTATTTTAGAAAACTAATTGTTTTTCTTCTTAAATAAAATGCATAAAAACAATAGTAAAGATGAAAGTGATTTGAACATGGCAGTTTGAACAAAATACATTAAGTACTTTATACAGTTTTAAAATTCATCATTAAAGACAAAGATTTAAATTGTTATAGCCATCCATGAAAGAATCCGGATTTAAAAATGGAGTTCAGCTGGCAATTTTCATTCATTAGGTCAGCAATATAAGTTTCTATGCATAAGACCCAATGGGGTTATACAAAATAAACAATATAGCTTCTTTGACTGAAATGTGCCTCAAATGTAAAAAAGGTGGCTATGCAGTGACCCTAAGGATATTGCAATAGTCTTTTAAACAAAATTTCTGGCAACTGTGATGGTTCTAAGAGTTGTAAGCAATGAGGAAGTTGACATACCTCCTCACTTCATTCCTCAGGAATTAAGGGTGGATGCTGCTGACTATATAAGGTGTTGGAAAGGGTTGTGAGGCCTTTGATAGAGAGCGTGAGCAAAGGAAAACCATACACCTACCAACAAAAGTGTAACGTCTTACAAGGCTAAGATGACTCAAAAATGTATGGGTTACAATCTCCATGATCATGATATTCAAAATAAATGGCCTCCTAGATTTCCAGATGTATCAGGCATAGTTGACCAATGTACCTAAAAATAGTACAATGTTCAAAATAGATAAAGACCAGTTGAATCAGGCATATCAACGTTTCAGACACTGTATTGAGATGCTCATCAATATTAATTGCAGATTCATTAAACTTTTGCATTTATTAATATGACTTCCCTTCCCACTACATTCTTTTTTAAAGCCTCTAAATTGCAGTAGCCTCATTGTTAATTTCACTCAAAGGTGTTTTCTGTTGCCAGAGCAGGATATGACAACACAACTATGAAATTCAAATACACTATTGTTCAGGGATCAGTCACCTTCAGTGGCAGGATAAACTTTTTTTTAACAGCAAATGAAGTTACACAGAGAGTGATAAAGGTTAAGTAGATACATCAAAGAGTTTTAAGATCATTTATGACAATTTTTCTCTCAAATAAAGCTCTTTTTCATGAGGCATGTATCTTTTACTAAATGTCTTCAAACAACTGAATAAATCAAAGTTAATAATTGAGAATTCACTAACAGATTAAATAAGACATTAACTCACTGACCACTTGATGAACAATGCAATCCTTGTTTTTATTAAATATAAAATGGATTAGATGCTCAGTTACCGAAAGTACTTGCAATATGGGTCGAACATCTAATCCATTTTACAATTAATAAAAACAAGGATCGTGTCATTCAGCAAGTCAATGCCTTATTTAATCTGTTAGCAAAGTGAATTCGCCATTAAGTACATTAACTTTATTGATTTATTCTTTGAATGATTAACTGGATTATATATATATATATATATATATATATATATATATATATATATATATATATATATAAATATAAAAAAAAGTAGTAACCAAGATCCTAAACTAACTTTTTCAGTCATCATAATCCCAGAACTATTTGAAATCAGAAAACTTTGGTATTTATTTTCATTAATTTACTCTTTACTTAAACCATGACCTCTGTGTCCTACAGTCACTATTTCATTACTTTCCCTGGGTTGTATTGTTGAGTTTGGCATGAACAGTGATTTGCAGGTTTAGCATTTCAAAAGGCAGCACATCCACTTTGTGCTAGGAGCCACTCTTACAGCATGAAACATTGTTTTATTGATTTAATAGGAACCTTTTTAATAAAAAAAATTATATTACAAAAATTACATTTAAAAATGAACTAATTTTTAATTATTTAGTTATAAAAAAAATATGAACTTTCTAAAAAACTTTTGGCAAATTTCTAAAATTTGTTTTTAATGCAAGTTGCTGTCTAACAAAAAATTAAAAAAACCAAAAAAAAAAAACCCAAAAAAACTAAATTTAAACTCGACAGGGTATCAGATGTTACAAGAAAGAATTATCTGACCACTTACCATTTTTATCATTCAAAGTATTTCCTAATTTTTCTGCAATTTTATCAACCTCATTTTCATCTTCATTGGCAACAGCTCCTTCTTCTGGAAAGAGAAAAATAAAAATTGATTTAGTTGTTCATATTCAAGACAAGATATGTGTTTGTGTGTGTGTCTTTTTAAACGCATATTATTTGAAGCCATTTACTGCTATGGGTGTTGGAATGGCAGACCCACACACAGAAAATATGATAATATAAATAGCTATACAGGGTGATTGAAAGCTAACTCCTTATTCTATGTATGATGGGAGAGTACATTATACATAAAATAGGGACTTATTTTTCAATCATCCTGTAGAGAGAGAGAGAGAGAGAGAGAAGTCAACAGAAGAGTTGATACAGTTTAATCTTTCTCAATCTGACCACTCACCCATAAGCCATTAAGCTGCTTAAATAGTTTCTTGCATTTCTCGATTAAAAAAAAAAAAGAAAAAAAAAAAAAGCCCACCAATCTATAAACAAGTTTAAAATGTGTAATTCATTCAAAAGCATATCAGATGTTATTTTGGGGAAAATTTTATACCCTAAAATATGAAGAAAATTTTAATATTTTGAATTAACTTGCCTATTGCATCTACTCCACCCTATCTATTGTGATGAAAGCCTAATCAAGAGCCCTCCACAGTAGCTAGTTTAAATGCCGCCCGATAGGGTGACTTAAGCTAGTATTTATTATTTACCTTTTTATAAATAACTATGACAACGACATTTTTTTCCCATTCAATAAATAGGGTTTCATATTTTTGTTAAATCTCAAGAATAAAAAAAAATGTATAAATACACTTTTATGTTTGGATTTTATTAAAATTTGAATCACTTTAAAACAAACAAAAAGTGGGTCAAAATCATCTACAATAATAGCAGTGACATCAAAGGAATAATCCTTTTTTATGGGCATGAAGGTTAAACATTATGAAACCTTCAAAGTATACATAAATAAAAAGCAATTCCTGTTGTTGATAAATTATGTTCAGGCTGCTGATTTAATTATAAAAAAAATTAAGACTAAAAATTATAAGCAATGCATGCCATATAAAAAAAAAAAGAGAGAAATCATTTAAGCATTAGCTGAAGATACATTTAGATCAACAAGTGAGAAGTATGGGAAAAGAAATTATCAGCATAGAACTTATGGTTCCAACTGGCAAATTCAACAATGAAATTATGAGATCCAGCTGCGAGTCTAGTACTGCACTTAAATTTGTGAAGTCAAGGTACCAATGAAGAAAGCTCATCAGAACAATTACCATTTATAGATGAAGTAAAAAGGAAGCTACATTACAGTGATGAGGAAGTGACTGAAGTCAAGATGCTAGGTCAAGAACAATAACATTATAGATTTTTCTTTGGATTTCGTTAAGAATTTCCAGACACATTGACAAAACACTAGACCAGATATAGCAACAATATTTGATGTATGAACGAATGGTAGACTCATGTGCAAGATAGATTTGGGTGAGAGAATGTCTAGCACGACATGGTGAACTAACTTAGCAGTTGATTCAATATAAGAATTCAACTTCATGCCAGTGGAAAACACGAGACCAAGGTCGTGGAGTGAATTTCTTTCAGAGGTTAACATTAGTCACACTGACGAAAGCCCCTCTACCTCCTAGAGATGGTGATCTTAATATCTGGAGGTAGTTTCTCTATTTTCTTCTTTTGAGTGGACTGGGTGTAAATTATTTTCAGATAGAGTGTATCTGTGATGGAACAAAATGAATAAAAAGAGGAAAAACTATTCTTAGCTGACACATTTTGTCCTCTGAAGATCCTTATCAAGGCAAATGTAAGAATGTCATTGGTTTATCAACGTTTTTAAATTTGAGAATGTTCATGAATATTCATCAGGTGATTGAAAAGGTCAGTTAAAACGGGGACGACACAAAGTGACATAATTCAGTGTCAGGTAAGACAAAAGTGAGTGAGTAATATTCAAGAAATATTGTGTGTGTGTGTGTTAAATGGACAAAGCCCAACATCTTTATTTTTATAATTTTTCATGATTTTCTCACGTACATTCATACCCACTCGATGCGTATCCAAAAATCATGGAAAACTGTAGTTTAAAAACAGTAAAATCGACCTTGCTAACTGAAATGCTCTTCTGTGGCAAAATCGGTAAAAGCATATCAGGCTATATGACAATTTCTCGGACATTCAAGCTGGTAAATGTTGTTAATACTGTTTATTATAAACACTTAAATATTTGTATCTATAAAAAAGAATGTATGAACATAAATGTCATATATATATATATATATATATATATATATATGAGCAAGTGCTGAAAATTTCTACAGCTATTTTATTGTTGTAAAACTTGCTATGAACTTAATAATTAAGATTCATGAGAAAATTAAAATAAAACCATGAAACTTCTACAAGCTAAAACTGGTTAATAATCAATTGTAGGTTTTATATTATAAACAGAAATTAATGACCATCCACTTTTGAGATTTTATCCAAAAAGTAAAGGAATGACATTTAAAACAATTTATGATCAGTCATCATTTCCTTCTGCTTACCCCAAATCTGCAAGCAGAACCAAGGCTGAAATAAGGTCTAAAATTGCCAGAATCCCAATGCTTGTATTGGCCATTATAGCAATTCAAACAAAAGGCAGTGTGGAATTGCAAATACATGTGCAGATAATATGGTGGTGACATAGCCTATATTGAAGCCACAGTCTTTATATGCTCTATGATCACAGCACATGGACCCCCTCCCCCACCAAAAAAAAATGGAAGAATCCTTCCCCCCTCTCTCAGAAACACAACAAATGCTGAGAATAGCTCCCAATTTATCTTGGAGGGACCATGTTACCAATACAGTTCAGTATGGCCCTCACCCCAAGTAAAGACTGAAACTAGTTGGACATTTCAGGGGGCAAAATAAAAAGATATGGCTGCATAGAAGTTGGAGAATACCCTTAAAACACCTGGTGGATTTTTGGGGAAACATCCCTTTCCCTTTTGTTATGGGCGGGGGGTCTGCATGGAGGAGGTGGATAAGATTAAGTTTCTGGACATGTGCAATGCAGAGAACACATCACAGATTAGCAATATCATTTGCATTAGTCAAGAAGGTGCAGCAGCAACTATTGACTGAGCATATATATATATATATATATATATATATATATATATATATATATGTGTGTGTGTGTGTGTGTGTATATGTCAGCTGCTGATGTAGAACCTGTTGGTTTGGTAGGCCAGCTACTCAGCAGCAGGTAAGAGAACCCCACAAATGATTTATAGATGCTAGTCAGAAAATAATTGGCTGCTCATTGCCCTTGTTAGAAGACATTTTTAATTCTCTTTGTTGCAACAGAGCAGAAAACAAACACAGCACACATCTAGGGTACCATTTGTTTGAACTGGTACTCTTTTTAGTTCTATTAACCCTAACACTAAATGCTTGAGGGACAGCTTTTATCATTGGACCCAGTGTAAAAATGAACGCTCCTAATTTTTGGTGTATTTTAAATATTACTTTTCTTTATCTGATACTGTGCGTTTTGTGTGTGCACACGCGTGTAATGGTGCATCTGGGACTGCCATTCGATTTCATTGTACACTGCAGTCACAGTGTCTTTACTAAAGTAAAGTTTTTCGCGGGAAAACAGCATAGCGTAATGAAAAAGGCCAAAAACTTAACGAAAATAAAGTTTTATTGTCAAAAAAAAAAAAAAAAAAAAAAAAAAAAGTAAATATTCTTTTACTGAAAAAACAATTTCAAACTTTAAAATTGATCTCTCATTAGAGCTTTATGAGATTATAAGCCTTAAAAAAAAAGAAAAAGATTAACTATGAAGATTATAAAAGCCATAAAATACGGGGTTTAGAAATAATTGTGGAATTGGTCTATAAAAAGCTATGTGGGTTTCCGGACGGGCTTAACAAAAGTATTTTCTCTTAAGTAGCTGAGGATGTAGATTGGTGGTGGTGGTGGGGAAGAAGGTCTAAAAAGAAAAGTTGTAATCGCATGGCCTCTGCTCGTCATCCAGTAACCTCTTTAATTTGTTTGTTCGATAAAAATAAAGAGAAAGAATAAGAAAACTTCTAAACGTATACGATGGAGGATTCGTATCTTTCTCTCTTTCTCGAATACCTCAATTAATGAAGTAGTCGATTATCAAGGCTAACCTAATTGTTGTAGCGGTTTTTTTTTTCTTCTTCTTTCAGCTTAGACGGCCGGTAAAAAAAACAAAACAAAATAACACACTTTCTCGTTTTACAACTTAAAACAAAAGCGTCATAATAATGTGTTTAACGTTTTATTTTCTCACTTTATAACCAAACGAGTAAATTAAATACTAAATACTGAGCAATCAAGTTCCTGTTTTATTGTAGTCAAGACGGCGTTGCTGAAATTCATAAAAATAAAATATTTAATTTGTTCATGAATTTTTCAAAAGCACGTGGGTCCCTTTAGCGGCGGGCCCAAGGGGTAAATGTTTAAAAAAAAAAAAAAAAAAAATGTTTAGGCGCCGAGACAGCATTTTAAAAGGCTTAAAATTTGTTAAGAAGCCCTAAAAATCTAAGAAGAGGCAATAGTTGGGTAATGTAAAGTAATCTAGTCAGGTTCGTGTACCAATTATTTATTAGTATTGGGTAGTTAAGTTCGACCCTCACTAGGTGCTCCATACTTGGATATTCTAATACCAAATCTACGCCACGTTTATTTTTCCTCATTATACACACGGTCATAATCTACAATTATTGTTAAATTCAAAATATCTTGACATCGGCCGTTCATGTTTTAGATTGGGGTGGAGGGATCAGAAAAAAAATAAAAAGATATCCGTCGATAATTGGTAGGGATAATTAAAATTTCAAGGAGAACAAACATGAGCTCAATGTAAGAAACAGAATGTATAACAATTTTAAAATGAAGCAGCTCTGCTAAATGTTAACATCAGAAGATTAAAAATGATTTTAATTCGTTTGCTTGATGAGAAAAGCTAACGAAATCTACCGAATCCACAGTGAAAGAATTAAAAAAAAAATAAAAAATAAGAAATAGCACACACAAACAAAAAAATAACAGTAACACTAACTAACAGGCACCTACTTTTGGAGACAAGAGGAACTTTTTTTATTTATTTATTACAAGTTGCTTTTGAAATCTAATTTACCAGAGTGCTTTTTCGATAAGTCTTACTCTTACCAAAAAGTAATCCTGATATAGAAGTTTTTAGAAAAGGTTGGAAAGAGTTAAAAAAAAAAAAACAAAAAAAAAACCGGTTCAAGTAGACATTTTTTGGAAAACTGTTAGAACAAGACGGTAAGCAAATAAGCAAAATTAAATATATAAAAAACAAAACAAAAAAAAAACAAACTATGTTCCACATCGGTAACAATAAAAAAATCTGGGTCAATCATGAGAAATCACTTTTTATTTTTTTAATCTCTTGCTTGAGTAAGTAAGTAGGAGCTTCATAAAAAGTTTAGGTAATAATAATAATCGACTTTTAATCAACACGGAAATTTTTTTTTTAAATGTTTAGCTTTACTTTTTTAAATAAAATAATTACATTCTATATTTCATTCTAAAACAAGAAAAAAAAAAGTATTTTTCTTTGCAATTTAATAAGAAGATCTATTTAAATAGACATAAGAAAAGACAACCCTTCACACGTCTTCTTACCACATGGTCGGATGTTGAATTGAAACGAATTGGTATTGTATTATTAATTTGAGTTGAAGGATTCTTTAAAGTGTCAAAAATGTTACACAGATAACAAAGAAAAAAAAAATGCCCCCCCCCAATAACAACAAAAACGGAGTTTTCATCATTGTCAATAATTATTAATTTTATTTATTTTTTTTTTGTTTTAGCATTTTTAGATTAATTTATTCAACAACTTGGGAAGAACTTAGTGCATTATTTTTATTTGATATCATAAAATTGTTCATAAAAACTAAAAAGAAAAATATTTTTAAAAAAGAAATTATTGACGATGGACAATAATAATTATATTAATTAACTGAAAGCAGGTAAATTAAGAAGATGAATTTAATTAACTTTTAAATTAATATTATCATCTTCGCCACATGGTGACATATACGAAAAAGAGCATTAATGACTTTTTTTCTTCTTTTGCTTGGGATAAAAATCTTAAAATTAATTTCAGATTTATAGAAAGATAATTTTAATTTTTAGATAAAAAAAAAGAAAAAAACCCTAACATCTCCCAAAAAGAGTTAAAAAAAAAAATATAGACCGTTTACATTGCAAAAAATAAACTTCACCTCTCCCCTAAGCATATTTCTAGCCAACAAGTATTACATCAATAACAAAAATAAATTGGAAAAGAAAAGTCAAAGGTTATTTATTTGAATGAAAAAGCGATCCATGATGGGTAAATTAAAAACAGCAGCAGTGTTTTAAAAAGGCTAATTTCTCTAACGTACCGGTTTTCTTCTTCTTTTTTTTCTTTTTTTTCTTCTTGGCAGCTGCTGAAGCATCGGCAACATCAACAACTACCCCGGCATCATCAGTGATTGTCTTAACATCACTCATCACTGTCAATTCTTCAGCATCCTTACATCTAGACGTGGACGAAACATCGTCTTCTTCAGTCACCATTTTCACGCACTATGTTGTACGAAATGATAAATATTATCTCCTCTCAGTTGAGAGTTCTATCTTTTACTCTCGATCAAATGCCAATATCATATATTTTTAACGATAAACAAATATATATATATATATAACAACAATTATTTCTCATTTATTAATTAGAGTAATTATTTTTCAAATTTTCCTAAACAGTAACATAATTTTATAAATTATTCCAAATCATATTCATGAATTACAAACAACAAGTATTTGTCCACTTGTTATTCCACATTTTCTTGTTTTGTTTTAAACTTATACTGAATAAAATTTATCTTTCATTTTATATATTTGAATTATTAAATTGGCGCGGATGATTTAAATATTTTAACGTTTTCAATAGAAAAAATATATTTCATTATTTTTTAAAAATAATTTGGGTTAGAGACTATTCATTTTCCCGCCGTTGGGAAGTCTCCAAAATTATTGCAAGGGAGGTAAGTATCAAATAATTTAATGAAAAAACTCGAAGTTGCGTTTCTTGTATAACTGTATTTGTCACTCTGCAAATAAACTTATTTTTTAGAGTGGATTTGATTTGAATACCCACCCATATAACTGAAAGTTGTAGTTTATAGTCTGCAACTTTTTTATCTACCAAACTTACTTTCTAAATCCCAAAGTATTTTACTTGCATTATTTACATTATTCGGACTGTTATCCTCATCTTCATTGCCATATTCACAGCATTTTGGCTGTTGTATGCTCTGGCCTTCTTCAGGTGATTGGAATTTTGAACTGAACCCTTTATTTTGTCCACTGGGGTAGATTGTTCTAGTTCCATGTACCATGCTTCTCTCGGATGTCCCAATTATTTCCCTTTAACTCAACTCTCTAAGTTTTGATTCACCACTGGTGTGGTCAACTTTTGGGGTCTAGTCACTGGATCTAACTGTCTTTGTCCGCTGGGCCATGTGTCCTCAAGGATATAACCAATGATCAAGGATCATGTGTCCTCAGGAACACATGGCCCAGTGGATAAAGACATTGGTTAGATACAATGACTAGACCCAAAGAATTTTGAGTTCAATACCAGGCAGTGGTGAATCAAAACTTGGAGAGTTGCGTTAAAAGGAAATAACTGAGACATCTGGAAGAGACATGGCATGTGGAACTAGAACAATCTACCCCAGTGGACGAAATAAAGGGTTCGGTTTGAAATTCTAATCACCTGAAGAAGGCTGGAGTGTACAATAACTGAAACCTTATGACTATGGCAATGACGATGACAGTCTGAATAATGTAAATAATGCAAGTAATCATACTACCTCATCTCAGAGATATAGAGAGACATTAAAGTATTTTAAGATAAAATTTTAAAATGTCTATATTTTAAATTCTTTTACAGTGTAACCCGGATATAAGAGAGTTGTCAGGACCGGAGAAGAAGTCTCTTATATCCGGGTTTGGTCTATTTTATATACATTAACACAGGCTCTAATTTGGGACCAGAGAAAATCTCTCTTATATCCGGGTTTCTCTTATATCCGGGTCACTTATATCCGGGTTACACTGTATATCAAATATATTAACTCATTAATGCCTACCATATAATCTGATATTAATTGTAAAAATTAAACTAAAAATCTGGTTTACACTATTTATATTCAGACTATTGGCCTCATCTTTGTTGTTGTTATCACAATGTTATGGTGTATATCAATATGGGTATCCTATAGGGAATTCTGAACTGAACCCTTTACTTAATCTATTGGGCTAGACTGTCCTTGTTCCATTTCTTTTAGGAATATTGTCCAGTTCTTATTTTTATTTAGTATTGTTCATTAATTACTTAGTTTCCATTGACCCAAGGATTGAATTCACAACCACCATATCACCAAATTCACAAACCAATACTTTTATCCACTAGGACATTGTCCTATAGGACAATTTGCTGTAGTGAACTTGGTGCTTTAAACTTAACCTGCCTGCTGATTAGGTTGCAGTTGCTGCTGCTGGCTGTCATTTTTTGACTGCTGATGCTACCCATGTTTTGATTGCTGCTGATGCAGTTGAAGACTTGCTGCCATTTATCTTTCTTTCTTTATTAGCACCGATCATATAGTATTTATTTATATGTTAGGCCTACTAGGTCCTCATAGCCTAGCATATGCGCTGATTCTTTCATATGTCTAATTCTCCAGTATTTTTCTTTGACCAGTATTTTCATTTCATTCTACAGGGGCTGACGACTACCCACTTCTCTCAATACATGATCAGCTATGCTTGATTTCATTGTCTCACCCCTCACTACTGCTTTTTGATGTTCCTGCAGCCTTATTTTTAGGGGCCAGCTTGTTTCACTTTTATATTCTTTGCCACAACTGCAAGGAATCAAGTATACTCAATTCCTGGTCATATTATCCCACATGTTAGGCTGTACTCAGCAGAAATTTCTTCATAGAGCGGAACTGCTTTTGAATATTGTCCTGATGTTTATGGACAGTAGATCTTCTGAATCTTTTTTTTAATAAACCCTTGGTGTAAGGTAGACAAACTGTGTCAGTTTTCTGGTCATCCTCCTTGTCCCTTCTGTTCCCACCAGTAGACGTTGATGTCGTGTTTGCTGGGTAGTTGTTATTTTGAAGGGTACGTTTGATGCTGATCATTTCTTGTTGGTATGTGCCTGGGTCGCAACTTATGATTTTTGTCAGGTGTTGTAGGCATCAAACAATTCTCTTCTTCACATTGTATGTGTTGAGATGTTGTGAGTTTCCCGCGTGTCGGTGTATGAATCAAGACAAACACAGTTGTAGAGGAAAATACTGGTATATTCATAAAAGCAATTAACAATAGAGTGATTAGTAGAACGAAGGTTGGTTAGTACGAAACAATATCCAAAGTCTATAGTCCAACAGTATGTACCGGGTAAGCTTATCTGGACTGCTCACACTGACTCTCTCTCTGACGCTCCGTCACTCTCTCTCCAGAGCTGACTTATATAAGAGGGACCAGTCCATTACTAGTTAGAAGGTGGGTGCGCCCCAACAGTATGGATGGTGGAAATTAAAGTTGAGGCATTGTCCAGTGAAGGTTGGTCTGTGATATATGATGTTTTGAATCCATTCTCTGTGTGAGTTATTAGTACATCCAGAAAGGCTGGCTGATTGTTATTGTCTTCTATTGTGAATTGGATCATATGTCTTATTGAGTTCACATAGCTCAGCAGTATTTATACAGCTTCCTGGTTTAGCCAGAGTATAAAGGTGTCATCCATGTATCTCAGCCATCTGTTGGCTTTTGTGGTGTTGTTTTTAAAGCCATTTCCTTATAGTCATGTATATGTTTGCTATCACTGGTGACAATGGTGAACTGATAACCAAGCCCTTCTTCTGTTGGTATATATCTGACTTTAGTTGGAAGAAAGTTGTCTGTACACTGAATGTTAACATTTCCATCAGATTGTGTATTGTGATGTTAGTATGTTCTCCCAGGGAGGGGTCTGATTCCAGTCAGTTTCACACCACTGTCAGGGCCTCATCTGTAGAAACTCTGGTGAATAGGCTTACCACATCCAAGCTTACCATCCAATTGTTACAGTCTTTGATTTCCTCATGCCCATATTTATTTTATCCTTCCCACTCCATTAGAGAGCTACTTGATTCTGTTAGAAGACAGAATATAGTGGCCATTTTTACTTTTGTGAGATGGACAGGACCTACAAAGATCTGTTATTTTCTTTTTGATATGTTGTTATATTTTAGTTTGTAATTGGAGATTCATACCCTCCCTCCTTATTTTATACCATCTGCAAATTTTTATATATATATTAGCTATGTCATAAAAATTTTTAAAATCATGGAGTGTTTTTGTAGGTTTCCTTTGTGTATAGTGTATTGTGGTATATGTAGGAGTAAAAGGTGAAGGATGTCTTCTTTTGGTATATGTGCTACTTATAATGAATGAATGGGTTGTGAATAGGATTAGCTAGGTATAGGACAGTTAATGAGGACCAGCCTCACCTCACTTCCACTTTTGGCCTTGTGCCACAATTATTTTTACGATAATAAACATATTACCATCTGATGGTTATGGATGGAAGCCCCTTGAATCAGTTTCACTAAGTTTTCTGAGTTTTCTAACATTGGATGCAGACTTCTCTGTTAGTGGGAATCTGCTCAGTGGACAGTATGTTGAACCTCTGCAGCTGATTATAGGTCTGAATGGAGTAGCAACTTTGTGAATTTAAAGACCCAGTGAAGTTGATATGGTGTAAAACAAAATAAGTTGTCTATACTTAGGGGGTAATAGAATAACATATTCTATTTGTGGAATTGGAGAAATTGAGTTTGAATTCCAGTCAAATCCATTACATTCACTTACATGCTAATACCTTTGGGAAAGGTATGAATCCTCCTCTTTTTCTCCCCAGCTATGGTTAAATAGCAGGACAGACCAGGTTCTATAGCCTTGGATGGCAACTGGTCTACCGCAGAAAGAAATGGCAACCTACTGTGGGAAAAAAATCTGCCTCATCAGTCATGTATTGAAAGATACATGATCACCTAAGTGTGTATCACACATGGCACATAACTGACTGATAGTTGCCATCTCCAAATAGGGTTGCCAATTTTTTTTTGAGTATTCCAACTGATCCAGCCTAATTTTTTATTTAAATCCAATCTTTCTTAACAAATTGCATAATGAAATTCATCCAGCACAGTCACTCTTCAAGATCTTTTTGGTTCAATGCAGGCGTGCACCATGGCTCTATTGTTCAATCTATTTTATTTCTTATCTTCATCAATGACCTTCTCAGTGTCATCAATTCCTGACTTGGTATCTATGTTGCTGACATGACTATTAACTTAATCTTAATGAGAAAAGATATGTTCAGATAAAATCAAAAATAATCAGGTGATCTCAAAACTGATCTTCAATCTCTTATTAACTGGGGCCAGAAATCACTTGTTAATTTACACACCTCCAAAACGAAATTGTTATCTTTTAGTCATCTAAGAGAAACATTT